CAAGAACTGCTAGACGGGCCTCAGAAATGCAGTCGTGCCAAGGCCAGGGCTGCAAGGAGACCATCCACAGCAGCAAGGCCGCCGGGGCCAGCAGCACAAGGGATGCCACCTCTTGAGCTGCTCCGAAACCAATGTAAAAGAAGAGTACTAAAGGGCTCCGGATAATTTGGGTCGGGCTTTGGGGTGATGTGGGCGAAGCCTGTCAGGGCTTGGGGATTCATTAGATCACAATCACGCAGGGACAGCAACGGGGTTTAACGGGGTTTGAATAATTGATGATTCAAGCCTCTATAATTTGTGTGTTTAGCGAGAGCACGGCAGTAGCACAATAACAGCAGCCAAGGTCAGAGCCTTTTGCGGCGACTTTGGAGAAGCGGTGGCCTCACCTGCAACATCCCTCCAGGCAGCCCCAAACCTTACGCACACTCCAAGCATCCCCTCCTGGAAGGTCTTCGCTGAAATTGAAGCATTCGTGTCTGACTTGTGCCGTGAAGGCTACAGCCGGCACTCGTGATAAGGCAGCGGCCAAGGAAGTCCGCCGAGAGTGTGAGAACCTTCTCCTGACGTCACAAACGGTTCTATAGGCTTCGTGGTTTGCGGATCCTCCCGTCGCACCTGCCGCGAACGCTGTCCGTCCACCCTGCATCCGAACCCAGCCAAAAGCCGAAGCAAAAACCCTAGCTGTGTAACCCAACAACCCCCAAATCCCAGGTCTGAGATCCCTAAACAGGCAGAACCCCCGACTGCACCTGCACCTCCTCGGCCACCCGAAGCCCGAGCGAGGCTGCAAGCGCCGCACCTGCTCAGGGATTGTTGGCTCAGAGTTTCGGATGTAGGGAATGTGGGTGAAATGCATCAAAAACTCGTGTTGCAGCCTTCGACCTTTGAGCTACCCGTCTTTGGTAATTAGTTGGGAAGTCTGCGAGGTCTCGATTGCTTCAGAGTTGTCGCGGGCAGTTCGGGTATTAGGCAGACGAATCTTCAGACCAGTGCACCGCAATGGGTACTCCAGAAAGGTACCCGCATCCTCATCCAAGGTTGTGGACCTGCTTACACTTGGATCACCAGTTCATCTTTTCTTCTCAAACAAAGCAAAAAAACCATTGCGCTGACAGTATCAGTACAGCTAAGCAGCTAATCAAGGCCGAACACACACCGATGCCACAATGGGCCAGGGAGCCGAATGACGGTCAGGACCCAAGGATCCACCAGGATCAACCGAAACCATGGTGCCGGTTTAGGCCGGGGCTTAGGGACTTTAATTAGGTTTGATGTGATGGCATTGGTGGACCAGGATTGCAGGTTCTGAAGCCCTTCTTCTCCAAGGCATAAGGCGAGTTAAGTTAGATGATACCTTGCCTATCTAGGTGTATGGCACCACCCAGCCCCCACTGTAGGACAGGAATCGAAGATCTCACCACTCACCCTAGGATAACGTCTATCTTAAGATCTCAGCCCCAGTAGGATGATCCCAACCCAAGCTACCATCCTAGGAATACTGCTTACTTCTATGTGGGTGCCATACACCGAAATAGGCAAGGGGGGGTCTTGCAGAATTTGGCATAGGCATTGGGGTGCAGGTTGCTATACTCCAGAACAGCAAGCTCGCGACAGTGCAATATGACTGAATTACGCAATCAGGCTTCACGGAGTCGATCTAGCTCAACGCTATAACACCTGACGACCGATTGCAAATGTTTTCGCACAAAGAAGTGTGTCGAGAGGACAGTTGCGCCTTGCCTATCTTTTGATAGCAGCAAGGGCAGCAATGATCTCTTGCTTCATGTTTTCAATGTCTGTCTTGTGCTCGGTCTTTGTGTGGTCGATCTTGGCCTTTCTCGAAAGAGCAATGCGCTTTGGTCCGCAGGAGATCCAACAGCCGGGTTGCTGCGTGGTGTGCATAAACGGAGAAGGTGCAGAGTTCGAGTTAGCAGCCGAACTTGCAGCAGAAGGACTGCGCACACTGGGTGACGGCGCAAGACTGCATTCTGTTCCGGTTTTTGCGATACGGACCCCTTATAGAAACGTCTACGCATCGATCTTGGATCTGCGCAACAACATCGATGAGCTCAAGAATGAGACTGCAAAGATCGGTTCAAAGATCGACCAGACAAAGACCGAGCTCGAGGCCAAGATCGACAAGACCTGCCATAGCTTGTTCCGCAAACTCGCAGGTGTCTGCGCGATCTCCGCCAGAACAACTGAAGCAGTCAGGTTTCCCCAACGGCTTGCGACACCAGAGAGGCTGGCATTCTTGAAGCAAGTGTGTCTGAAGAGGGTTGCCACGGGCAGCGGAGGAGCATCTTTCTTCAAGTACAGGTCGCATTGGGGATTTGATGGCAGGGCAGCACCACGGGCGCCGTTTATCTTGCCTTTTCATTTCCTGCCCGTGTTCCAATTGAACCCAGGTTGGGTAGCGAAGCCTGTCTCGAAAGCACTCTTTGCAGCCTGCCCCTGATTATCCGTAGCTTGGATTTTGGAGAACGGCAGCCGCCGGAGGTCATCTCCCCCGTCGAGGGCTGCAAACACTTGCTTCTCGAATTCTTCTGTCGTATGAGTTCTTTGATGTCTTGCACTGATATCAAAGAAGCCGCGCGACAAGGCACCCATTACCGTCGCAAGCCACACCTGCTCCAACCCATTGCAAAGCCCTGGTGTGGAATGGAACCATTGTAGGATGCCAGAAACAGCAAAACCACACAGAACCACACCAGTCCCGCAACACGAGGCCATTGATGACTCCGAACCATTGGCGCATGCAGTGTTTTTAATACTCTAGATTTGGCTTGCTTGATTTCCCTGAGCTGTTCGGTGGCAAGGAGAAGAGAGGTGTCTGGGAATAGCAAGTCTCAGGTGTTAAGCGCCTACCGCACCCATGGAGCTGTTGATCTCACCCTCCCGCCATTCACTGGAAGAAGCATCAAGTAAAATCTGAAGCTCTCTCTCCCTCTCTCGCTCCGATCGCTCTGCCTGCCCAGTTTCAGATTCAAGCACATGGATCCGACAGCATGGGACTTGGATCCTACACTAACCCACTCCCAAGTCACTGGACAGCTGGCCTGCGCAAATCGAGTGCAAGCCAAAAAGGACTGTGGACAGTCCCAGCAAGCTGCCTGCGGCATCATGCGGTGCTGGATAAACTGAATACAACCTAACTAGAGCAAACGTAATCAATAAAAGCGGCAAACCAAAACTGCACAGACATTTGGGCGGCCTTCGCGGATTGGGCCAGCTGGGAGAGAGGGCGAAGCTTGGATTGATTGCTTGATTTTAACACACGGAGGACGTCTCACGTTGTACATCTGGCAAACTGCTGACGGCACCCTGTGAAGTCGACACATAATGCCATGGCGCCAGATGGTCTCAACCCCCTAACCCCCCAATCAGGCCTGCCAAGCTGGTCGTGCCTTGCACCAAGGACAGCCTGGGCCCACTTGAAGCGAGCAAACTTCCGCTGGTTTGCGGCACACGACGAGGCTGAGGTCGCAGCACAACGCCCATGGTTTAAGAGCTAAACCCCAACCTAAAGCGCCATAAGCTGTTCTCTGCAAATCCTTGCCGCACGTGCCGAATACCTGGATAAACCCCGAAGCGAACATGCGGCAGATAGGAGCAATGAGCTGAAGTTCTTCTACGACTATCCAAAGGATCTTTCGAAAGTGACCCTCCAAAGCTTGCCACCATTGTGAAGTGCAAGGGCAAATACAGAACCCGAGCTTCTGCGCAGCCGAAAACATCCGCACTTGACCTCGTGTCTGCATGCTGTGTTTGCCTGTGAGTGTACAACCATCGACTGCCTGAGGGTGCCAACACTGTAACTCTAGCAGCACAGTGAAATCTAGAACCATCACTGCCGATCTTTGCCGCAGCCGACCTCGTCTTTATCAGCGCAGCTCTCTACAACGGGCGAAAATACGTAACGTCTGGCACTCACTGCTTGCTGACCTCCTCAAAATTTTCACCTGGTTGGGGAGGCAGTATATAAGGCCCCGAAACCAACGTTCGGAACTTCCAGGTCACGGGGAGCTGGGACTGCACGGGGGCTGAAAGCTTATTGTGACGATAAAGATTTTTCTCACAGCAATGTGGAGTTTACATGTTACATAGGAAGGAGCTCATAAGAATCCGGTTGAGCTCGAGCTCGGCCACGGAGTCAGTCCGTGGTCCCATCTGCGACTCTCTGCATGAACTGCAGGACACAAGGCAAACTGACGTCCAACCGCTGCATCAAGGCTTGAAAACATTCTGTCTCAAACCCCAAGTACGACCCTATGCCCTATGCACTATCTCCTTATAGTGTTGACGACTGGGCAGGCCACCGATGTCCGGGATGTCATCACCTGTGCGGGTCTCGCATAACGGTCGACAGGGAGCATTCGATAATTAATCCCCTGGCCCTGCCGTCTGCGGCACGGTGCATTTGTGCATAAGTCCCTGCGCCTTGCCTCCTTGGTGCGGCAAAACTTCACCGGACCGACGATTTGGTATTGTGGGGGCTAGGGGCAGGGAGGGCGGCATGTAGTAACTGCGGACAGGATTACACACATTTACCCGATGTTTTTCCGCTTGTGAACCCTGCTTCGGCCTCCCGTCTCCGCAGCCGGCGCGGCTCGGAAGCCTCTGTCAGGCGGGGATTCCGGGGCATCTTGGGCTTATGTCCTTGGAAATCAGAAGTGTTTGCGCTGTCGTGTTTCGGCGCTCACACATACTTGAGGAAATCGGGCTTGGGGTTCAGGTCGGGCGGGGTATCACAGAGCGCTTCGGGCAACCTGCATGCTCCTGATCAACCATGCTATGACCATGTCGAAGCATGAAATCGGCGCATTTGAATGCCCGGCGCGAGATGCGGAAAAAGCCATTCATTTACCAGAGTGTGCCATAGTGCGCCGTAGCTTTCCCAGAGAGCTTGATGTCCGCAGCTTCAGAAGATGAACGGATGAGGTATGGCTCCGGGCACAAGAAAGAACTGCAGGCCCAAATGGCAGAGCACCTGCCCCACATCACCTTATGAAGCCCGAAAAACCCTGCGACACAGACCCTCTCAAGGAACCTTCCGCAATTCGTCGGAGGTTGGTCAAATTGTCCGCACCCAGCCTTGGCTGCTCGTCTTTGGATTGTTTGCAATCATGCAGGCACCTATTTCGGGGGAGGTCATAGTTTAACTAATTAGTTTTCTAAAACCAAGGCTGCAGAAACACGTTGATGAGGACATGCCCATACAAAGCTGCACTGCAAACCCCAGGTAGTCAGCACGCACACCAACAACGACCGCCACCCATGCCCTACACTCAAGCCGAAGTCACGCAGAGCAAGAACGCAGTCCCCAGTCTCGCCGTCTGCAGCCCAGCACATGCCAAAACCCCAACCTGGCCCTGCCTGGTCCTAAACTCCCGAACCGGAAACTCCAAACAGGAACCTATCACAGAAACTGAAAATTCGCCCCAGGGAGCTGGTGGATGATTCCCGGGAGGAGCTCCTCCAGTCGCTTGTTTTCAGGCTGGCCCGTGATGACCTCAAGGTGCCGGACCACGGACACGCTAAATTCTGGGTTTAAAGCTACAGAATGCTTGGAGCTTGGGTGAGTGCAAAACCCAAAACCCGATGAGCCTTGAGCCCCCCCCATGCAAGAAGCCCTGCTTAACCTAAGCCCTAAAACTTCAACAAAAGCCCTACTGAACCGCCGCTGAGAAGCATAAGTGTTGGCGCCCACGGCGGCCTGGACCTTCGGCGTGTTGAAATGGAGGACCCCGCCGTCTTCCGTAAACATGTTCACCTCCTCGATGCCTGGCTTTAGAACCACTGTCGGTCTTGGGGAGGCTTCTTAAGCTTAGCGATGTTTTCACGCTCGCACTCGGACAAAGCAAGGGAAGGTCTCCAAACAAGACAACAAGACACGGTGGAAAGACGGTTGATACAGCCAAAAGCACCTCTAGGGCTAGGGTTTTCTGTTCTACATCTGAGGGTCAGGGCTTCCAGGCTCAAGGTTGGTCGACATTAGGGGGCACGTGGTTCCCAGCCGTTCCTAAGCCTTTCTCCGGTTCGCACGAGCGCCGGAACCCATGAACCCCAAAGCCCACGAATCCACAACCCTCAACACAATCCACTTCATAGGAGATGGCCCAGGACTGGGTCCTACACCGAATATATGAACCCCAGCAGTACCGAACCCGACCGCGACGAAATCCTGAATGCTTCTGATTTCATCTGGGCCTGGGATGCTGTTGAGCCCCAATCGCTTGAGGTGGGCCTCGGGAACAGCGTGTGCCAGGTCCGGATCGTCTCGGAAATCTGGGGGGGGGGGGGATAGCGAGGAGTGAACTGCTTGCTTGGCGCTGTTACGAACAAGGATTTTTAACTAATTTGGTCGTCATTGCTGCCGCATGGTCAAACCTTCCGGCATAATGGTTGGAAAAACTGAGAATCTAGAAATGTAGAATGTACGTAGATTTCTGGCCAAATTTCGGGTTCGGCACCTGCGAGCTGACAAGGCTGAAGCGGTCGAGAACCCATGGGTTAATACGTTTGCAAGCTCCAGAGCCGGCGTTTGAAGATGCGGTAATAACAGGATTCTCAAAGCGGAGGCCGCGTCTTGCGGACCGGCACCAAAACAAGACATACTAACTGCTGCATGCCTCGAAGTTCATACTTCCTTGCCTCTTACACGCCGATCATCTGCAAAGCTGTCTGAATTTTAAGCCTTACGCCACAACCCCAAAATCCGCCAACTACCGGCCTGCAGTTGCTTCTCATCTGCCGTGTTCGTCTGGTGTTTTGCCAACTTTCGGCCTAGGAAGAAAAGGCGAATGCGTCTCAAGAACCATGTCGCGCCAGGGTGGTCAGGATTCGAGCTTTCTAGTACGTCAACAGCTTTTGCATCAGGCAGTCAATCCCAAACCGTACGCATCCGGGCTCACAGGTGCTTGCCAACCAGCTGTCCTCCCTCCCCCACACTGGGGTAAGTAAGCAATGACTCTGCTTCCTGGATGCATCGCTTGCAGTCGGGCTACGCCTCGCAGTGCCCTTGCCGCCGGTGCGCACCGCATCGAAGCCTCAGACGCGACGAAGTGCACTTGAGAGTTGGACAACGAGTATCAAAGGGTTCCAGATATCAGAAAGCTTTAAGTTTTGCAGCCCTCACCGAAGGAAGTGAAACGTGCAAGCGGCCTGTTCCGCATGGTTTGCATGGTCACGGGCTTGAAGTATGGGACCAGATGTATTTGGAGTGCTGGTCGGATTCGGGTGAAGAATTCGTGAAGGTGTCTCCTGCTCACTCGACAGGGTTTATTCATGTTTCCGGGGTCATAAGGCAACCGTTGTCTCGTCCGCCTCGTCCTGCCCTAAAGCCATTAATTTAACCCGTCACCGGTGCCAACCCGACAGCAGACAAGCAGCGCTGGGCAAGTTTGGCACGGGCCGCCATGACGGCCTGGGGTTTCCAGCTGGCATATCTGGCTTTCAGACTTCACCATTGAGGAGTCTTGGGGTTTCGGGGATCAGTCGATAAAACTGGAACCATGCAGAGAAGATTTGCCTGGCCCTCATTTCAAGACGACAAAAGCAAATCGGAAAAAGTTGAAACGAATTGCAAAAGCAAACGGGCTTCAGACTCTCGCAACTCGGCATTTATTCCACAGGTGCAACCCGAAGCCGGGTTTTGAGATGTAATGAATGATACGGTGCTGTCGGATTTGACGGGTTTGAAGCCATCCTTCCCTCTTCGGCACTCGCCAGAGTCATGCGCAGGCTTGGAGGGCCATGCTAGGTCACATATCCGGGTTTTGCTATTGGGTTCAAGTTTTGTCCATGAACGAAATCTTGCCATCTGGCTGAACACAGTATTCATCTGAGCCTCATCTGCATTTGTTTCCTCACCTCAGGCTTAGACCCAGATGGCAAACTGACCAAGAGAACTTGCGCCAGATTCGCAAGTCAACAAAATCCTAAACCCTTTCCCTGAACTCTATATCTTATCATTTAAACCTCCAAGGCTAAGCACTGCCAAAATCGCTACAAGTGCTACGATCCGACCCATGGCTGAGGCCTCGGATTGCTCCATGACGTCTGCCCTGGCAGAAGCTGCATCTAATTGCGAAGCCTTCTGGGCTACCGGGCTCTATTCACGGGCTGGCAATGAATAACTTCTTTTAAGAATTCTGGGCTCCGCTGCAAAAGCCCTGCCTGGATTCTGCGGAAGTCCAGGTTGACCCAGTATCAAAGCGAGTATGGCTATGGTTTTGCATGTGAGTGGGCGTGCATAGTGCATGCTACAAGTAGTGACGGTTGACTGCCGGCTCCAGGCTGCAACCACCAGGGAAGCCTAGCTTGCGTTCGATTCGATCCAGATTGGGGGGTCGAAAGCCAGACCTTTCTCTGCGATGACACAGCGATCAACAGTTTGAAGTGGTGACAAAGGTTCTTGCTTCACAGCGACCCGTTTGCGGAACGCAAACCCTTGACACCTACTTGGCACTTGCCACTTTCAAAGCTCTGTCTGCAGAAACGGATCAAAGATAGAAGCCATCATACTCAACATGCCTGTTTGGTGAATGCAGGATTGCGTGCCCCGCAGAGTACGTAGAGCTGTAGGATTTCAAGCCGAGCATCGCGAGTTCGAGAAGTATTATTCCATGGTCTGTGGCCCACCCAGCCCTGTGGTGGAGGTGAGCGTGTTCTTCTCTGAGCCGCAAAACTGCTGTGACGAAGAGGTCACAGATCATCCACACGAGCTTTCGGACTTCTGCGTTGCCATACCTAAAGGCCTGAACGCACTGCAACACGCGCAGAAACACAACTGTGCAGACCAAGACACCAAGCAGACCACGTAGCTGTGATCGTGGCCACTGTAGGTCCAGCGGCTGAGCAAAACAAACGCCTGTAAGAAACGTTGGAGTTTGCAACCCCCTTCCCGGGATGCCTGGAACCTAACTGGATGTCCGCAAAGCATCTGAAAACGGACAAAAAGAGCGAAAAGCTTCTGTGGGTGCACCAGGGATCGTGGGTCTTACAGCCTTCCCAAACAGAAATCCTCCCAACCGGAGTTGCCTTGCGATAACAACTGTCTGTGTCGCCAATAAGGCATGTATTTGAAGCGAACCGGCCACTGGCAAAGCAGCTGTCCACAAACGCACAGACGCTCAAGCGCGTAAACTGGCCTAAACTACAGAAACCTCTGCCATCTTTCTGGCAAAGCCCTGGAATAAGCTTCTCACCAGCCTCCCAACCTGTCCTCTGAAACCGGATTCTCGCGACCTTGTGCACGCGACTATGTTTGTCTGTTGCCCGGTCCAGCTGACGAGGTGGCTCGCATGTGAGAAAGGCATGCAATGGTGCCAAGCCTTCGAGGCTCTTGTGTATACGGATTGCTACTGCTACCTCGTCCGGTTGCGACTTTCTTCCCGTACTCGGCATGGCTGCTCAACCGTCGCAGGAGCTCTGTTGGCCTTGGCTCAACAAGCGCATCCGCCGGCAGAGATGCGAAGCATTTCTTGATTTGCGACGTTGCGAGCCGTGGCTAGAAGACTAGAACCCCCTGGCCCAGCCCCGAAGGGTGCACAGCAAAGCACTTCTTTGCTCATTCGGACATCTTGCAATGAGACCCAGGTCAGGAATTTAGCAAAGCTGACCGAGGTCTGATCAAGCACATCGACTACAGGAAACGCCGGGTGGCGGGAAAGACGTGCCTGTGCGCAAAGAAGAACAACGTGAAACAGGGAATAGCACCAATGATCTCAAATGTTCTGAGTGGCTTTACGTCACAAGTTTCACCTTTTGAATGTCACATCAGGCAGGGTTGTCTCAAATGTCCACAACAGAGCTGGTCAACAACTTTGGCGACCAGAGGAACTGAGAGCAGGCTCGAGCTGTCAGCCGAAAGCCACGTGCTGCACAACTGTCTCTGCATCGACTTGACTGAGCATGTTGGCTGGCTCCACTGCTGCAGGCATGCCGGAGTTTCTTGTTAAACTAAGCCCAACTGGAGGGGCTCTCAACCAACCAGCAATCAAGCACCCCCAAGGCAGTTCACAAGTATTGCGAAAAGGTAACCAACCAACACACGATGTTAAACTAGTACTGAGAGGCTCGCGACGGGTTCAGAAAAATCCCGGCTCGCTTCACACCCTTCGATCACAGAAGCCCATGGCTCCACCTGGTGCGCACGAACTGTTTGGGCATTCCGGTGTTCTGCTGGCTTTGGGAAAACATTCGTGGCATCTTTGCGGTGCAGGGATATCGTGTCCTTCGCACGGAGGCAACTTACGATGAACTGGGGTGAGGGAAATGTATTACGCCCCTTTGCTGCTTGCACATGTTTGCAAATTCGCATCCCGAACCACGCTGTCGGACAATGATAGCCCAGGCAGTGCGGAATTTTCAGGGTCCTGGATTCCAAACCCCATGCTACCTACATTCAATCCTAACGGGCCTAACCCCTATGCATCCCTACATGCCCCTGTTTTGCTCCCTACATTGCCCCACACTGTCCCGGAGGCACAAACGACACATGTACCCCTGCCTAGCTGCTCGCTCTGATCCTTGCGGAAGAGGGGAACAATGCGGTGCTGCATGGAGTTGTCCAGCCTGGCTCGGGCAAGTTTCTTAGTTATCAGCAGGCGGAGACAAGGAAAACCATCGCCACAATCTCGATCCGATTAGTGCACAGGCCCTGGGAACTTCTTGGGGTCGGGTTACGACTCGTCCAAGAAGAGCAGATTCACGGCTCTCATGTAGACAATCTAAGAAACAAACACAAGCGCGGCCACGTCACGCTGTCTCCTCTTGGACCCTCCAGATCAGCAGTTCCAAGCACAAAAGAAACCTCAGCACGGACCGGAACAGAAAACAAGCGCAGGGAGAGGATTGAAGTTTTTCGAGTAGTTAAGCCACTAATCACAATCGTCAACATCAACCCCCTCTGTCAGCAGAAAGTCATCTCGACGTTTTCGACCTTCGCAGTGACTGACTCGAAGCTTTATTCAATTACCATGAACCTCCGAAGCCACAAGCCCCGCTCGAACAACCTCGACCATACGTTGGACCATAAACCTTTAAACCCTGTTGAACCGGCGGAGTGTGAACGACAAGTCTACTTTCTTTTACTGGGATGCGTCAACTCGCCGCACCCAGGGCTCAGAGTAAAGGAGACTCATTTACACGTGGCACGTGGCAGCTCTCTCTCTCCCTCTCTTTCTGGCTGTCTCTCGCTTTCGCTCTCTGCATCAATATCTATGTTCCTGCCAAAGTGCCGCTGTGCAGGAAGCTCCTCTGCAAAGACGAAGGGAAGCTTTCGGTGCCTCAGTTGCCCCAATTTGAGCCCAGCCGAGAACATCCCAAGAACTTTTACGAACAAGTTGAACAAGACCTTGGTCGTCCGTGGCCCTGCTCACGCAGACTACACAGACATGCCCGCGCCTTGCCCTGAATGATAGCCCATGGTGAGGGAAGGATGGAGTCAACGTAAATGCTACAGGCATCGCTTGCAGGCTACGGTATCATCTAGGTCTCTAGGTCCAGAAACTGACGAGTGCCGAACACTATATGTATTTATTTGTTCTAGAGACACCTGAGTCTCTTCGCCTGAAAGGCAGCTACAATCTAGCAGGAGCCTGAACATGGTCGTCTTTGCTACAACTCGCAATCCATGCAAGGGCGTGCATGTCTCCAACACAGGAAACGCACATGCGCTCTGCAGCAATGCGTAGCATGTGCCTCTGCAGATCCTTGCGCTCGATCTTGAAGCTGCCGCGACCTATTTGGACGAAGCCTTCCCTTCGGTGAAACGTGAAGTTCTAGAAATCCCCTGCCTGACATTCAGGCAACCGACTACACAGCGGTCCCCCCTGGGAAATTCGAGCAGAGGCACCTGAATTCCAGCACGACGACGTGTTCCTTGGGACGTGGGGAAGAAAAAGGACATTTGCTGAACTTGAACCAGGAGTTTGTAGTTTGTACCAAAGCCGACCTTCAAGGCCGTTCCAGTGATCGTGACGCTTACCAAACACATGAGATCTGAAGTCATGAGCAAATCTGTACTCCAAGCGAAAATGCCGGCATTCGGCTCTGGTGAACGCCGCTCTGCAGGATCTGCATGGAGACCGGAATCTTTCGGACCCATTATACTGTTTTGGCCAAAGCTCCATCTTCTGGAAGGGGAAACTTGTCAAAGGGTTCGCTTCAACAGCTCTCTTGGCGCTGAAGTTATCCCGGTGCTTGATAATTCCTTGGCTGCACAGCAGCAAATGCCCGGCTTCGTGCAGTCCGCACATCAGCCTGGAGGCTTCGATGAGGAATGTGGGAGAAAGACGCAGGCAAAGAGGGAGAAAGAGATAGGATGGAAGCAAAGTACAGAGAGAGCGAGCGAGAGAGCAAGAGGGAGAGAAAGAGAGAGAGAGAGAGAGAGAGAGAAAGCGAGAAAGAGACACAAAGAAAGACAGAAAGAAAGAAAGAAAGAAAGAACGACTGTGTGCGTGTGTCACTCCAAGTTCGCGTGCTCGCGTGCCCCTCTATCTCTCCGAAGCTGTTGTGGCATTACAACCTCGCATCAGGAAGATGCGAAGCCTACTCCAGGCGAGCCCTTCCGTAGTGAGGTAGACCTACACCTGACTTCTGCCTGGAGATGTTATGCTCGTTTTGGCTTGGAGCGCACCGCTTCTGTCTGAGGGCAAATGGCCATACCGTGTCCTACATTGCCTGCCAGGGAAAGCCGAAAGCCCAATGCCCTGCAATCCTTCAGCTGTCAGACAAGCTGCGGTAGATCTTCCTGAGTTGTGCTTCGGGCGCCCTAAATTTTTTCGAGCCAAATTTTCGACCTCAAGCTCCACGTTTTGGGCTTCGGTTCTCGCTCGCACCGGGATGGAAGCGCGATGTACCCTGCTTATGCACAACTAATCAAAGCCTGGCCCTTGCCCTTACCTTTGCCCTTTAGGGTTTCGACGCTTGTTATGGCTGCAAAAATTGGCGGGTTGTGGCCGCTTCCGAATTTTCACGGCATCTGAACCGGCCGAGAGGCGAAACGCCAGTCAGCCTCAGTGCTTTCGAAATTTGATTACAGAGCTAACCGGCTTCGGCGAGAAGACCGCACTCCTGCTCCAATCCTTGTGAATTACGATACCGCTGATGGAGACACCTTGCCTGACTGCCTGACCGTGTATATGTACGATGACCTTTGATACTATGGGACCGATGACATACTCCGTTTTACGGATATTGCATGACTGATTTGGTCCATCTGGACCGAAGAGCACTTGGCTAGATGTCGGGCTTCTGCACCAGAACATCTCGAATAGTTTCTGGATCAGGGCCGGTCATAATCGAAGGCAAAGGCCTGCCTTGCCCCTAGCTTTGGTTGCCAGGTCACGGATACTCGGTCACACAGTCGCCCCCCAAATTCAGGGTCAGCGTCTGGAGGTCATGATGCAGCTGGCAGTGGATGTCTGCATACTCCTCACAAAATGCGGACCGAGGAAAAGCGTGGAGAGTTCTTGGAGTCTCACTCTCAACTTGCCCCCAAAGGTCCGCATCGGCTTGCTTACTGTAAGTTATTGGCAGAAACGCACTGCCTACCAGGCCTACCGAGAGCGTCACTGGCCAGTCGATTGCGTATTTGCTCATCTACTGCAACGCTGTCTCATCCCGTAGTTGTCCTTGCTTACAAGTCTTACACTACTGGCTTCTGTTATACTTGCGTTGCTCAGTGGGTCCTTGCTGTCCGTCTGAGTCGTCAGGTACAGCCCGCTCACCAGCTCCAACACGAAATCCTGGAACAGCAGCAACCTTGAGGGCGCGGTAGGAACAGATGGTAAAATCCAGCGTAAGGATGCCCCTCTATATTTGGTTGTGCGCTGTTCTTTCTGCCTATACCTATATATATATATATACACACACACACACACGAACATAGATAAAGATGAACATAAAGATAAAACTGAAGCCAATCTTTAAAGCTACAGATGAAGACGATGATTAATGCGAAGGCTGCTAGATGAAAATTGAAACTTTAAGATGAACATACCGAAAGAGACAAAAACTGCCAAACTGCATTCTGTTTTGTCACTCGCCCTCGGCAGGCAGCCGAGGCTTCACTGCATTCTTACAATACATTGTAGGAGCACCACCAACAGCGTTCCCGCCATGTACTGAACGGGATTCAGCGGTCGACAGGAACCATTACGACGCTGCTTCCCCGCCTTGCGACGTTTCCAGGGCACCGCGGCAGAATCGGTCTCCCTCATGTACTGGCGGCCACGGCTGAAATGCTTCCCCATGTATATACTGGTGGGGTTTAGAGACATGAGCATCATGCTTCCTACCGTATACTTGGCTACATTTTGAAGACACAATACGGCCACTGTTTAGAATCTGCAACGAATCGAGCGTCCCGGAGCACGCGGCCACAGCGAGACTGTCAACAATGGATCATGAGATGCAGTCCGTTGTGTTCTGCGCCCGGCACTGAGGCGAGCACAGCTCCTGCTGGTGCCTTAGCTGGGCGACACTCCAGAAAAGCTTGTTTCTCCGCCTGGTTCTGGAAGTTCGGCTGTGATTGCAGAAAGGCGGACCCAATTTCACCCTTGAAGGCTAGATCAAGAGGCAGGTGTAGTTCGCAAGTCTTGTCAGCGAATAAACTATAGAACCTGAGACACTTCAGTCCTCTACACCCCCAAAGCTCCTCAGCTCCTCCAGGCGGCTCAGGATTCCGCTCGCCTTCGTAGCCTCTCCAAAAAAGCTTTGCTTGGGGTTGAAGTGGCGTAGGAGCTGTCAGAGTGCAAGAAACAAACTGAAAGGCGAACCGTTTGAGCGCATCGTTTCATGGTCCCAGCATCAACCAGAAAATGGCTCTGGCATGCCGTGGGACATGCTCTGCCGGAGACCACTGCAGGCATGGTTGCGGCAGGAAGATACGCTGATCTCTTCTCGACCCCACGATCAGTCACCAAGCCCCAACCGACCACGTGAACAGAAGCACCACACGACTAAGGCTTCTGGAATCGGCGCTGAAGGCTGAAAGAAAGGTACACACTCGTTTACTTCGCCTGGTAGGGTTTCATCCAGAGCCAAACCAACCCTTAAAGACCTCGAGTCAGCCGGCGAAGGCGAGGCAGCTGGATGCGTGACCTGCAGGTTTCTGGTCACTGGCTGCATAGGGTCTGCAGAGCTTCGGGTCCCAGCGGTTGAGAAGCGAAGGTTTTTGGGGCTGAGGTTTATGGTTGGAGTGCCTAAGAGTAGTGGAAGGCAAACTATACACACGGGCACTTCTAGCAGGCAATTCCCGAAACCCATATGATATGTGCCCAACTGCACGTTGCACCCCCAGCCCTTTTCGGCGGGGACTGGGGTGCCGGCCAGCGCCTATGCAACTCTCACCAAGCCCTAAACCGTAAACTAACCACGCCTTCCCAAACCCTGAGCTGCCTCAAGTGGTGTCTAGGTGACCTCTCCGTCGTCGCACATTTCCTCAAACTCACTGTGGTTTCGGGTTAGTGTAAGCTTCAGGGTCTCGGAAGTATCGGCCCGGCTGGGGCTGTTGCCACTGCCAGCTCGGCTTCGGGATTCTAGGCTTTAGAGCATCGTAGCATGACATGTAGTATACCAGAACGAGAGGCAGGGAGAGAGAGCGAGAGAGAAATAGCTAGATGAAGATCACATGACTGAGAGCATAGCCTCCTGACATACAATATATGTGTCTCCGAGCATCATAGTCATGGCAGTGACCCTCGTGTGTGTTCAGCATCTCGCCACGTACTTTGGCATCAGGGTGAAAATCAAGGAGCAAAAGCGTGGGTCGAGTTTCATAGGGGCTTTTGGGGAATCTGAAAACATGAATCGGCGCTTTGGACCTTGGAAGCGCTACATGCTACAATGCATCCCAGGCACCCAAGGCAATCCGTGGCATCCTTGGGGGAAATGGTCATGTCCTCGGATGCTGAAGTCATGACGACTGTCCTAGGGTTCAAGCCCTCCAGCTTCTGAAGGCTTCGTTCCAAGAGCTTACAAGGCCGCGATTTCTCGCACAGGCGACCGTGAAAGTGAGAAAACTGGCTTCTGTGCTCAGCTGTCACCCGCACGAGAATCCCAAAGGCATGAGAACAGGACGCAAGACCCTGCGTCCGGCCCAGTCGCAAATGTGTCGGTGGCCGAGAGCTGCTGCACCGGAGGAATTATCGCCTGGTGGATACATGCCGGGCCCAAGTCCAGATTTGCAAGAACTTCGGCAGGGCCCTCTTCCAGAGGTTTTTTTGCATGTACACATGTACGTTGGCCATGGGTGCTTGCATCTGGACACATGCACATGCAACCTGCCTACTTTCGTACGCACATGTACATGTAATATCTGATGCAATTCGCCCTCTTCGGTGCTCGTACATCTAGTCTTGTATATACCTTACCACCGCACGCATAAGAAGGACACACCGAAGGCACAAATGGACAACACATATGCGCATACACTCACGCATTCATGGGCTCAAGCAGTCCTAAGTCATGTGGGTCAGCTTTGCCAACGGCGGCGGCCTCACTGGAGAGCTGCACCACGTGCAACGTGTCGCCACTTTGCTCTTCCTTTGCACTCGTTCGGCTGCAAGAGACACGCCGCAACAAGCCACGGCGTTAAGCCTAGCTAGCATGGCAGCAACGAACGCAGCATCAGCAATACACTTTCACTTTCAATACACTACGTACGTTTCTACTTTTCGCTCCATGGATCACCCTTCCAGAAAAGTATGACGATTGTTTGTCTCGGTTTCAGTCTGAAGGCCCTTACTCAAGACGAGAATCGCAGGCGCAGCAGGGTCCCATGCCGAAGGCAATCGACAGCGTTCGCACGAAACTCATCTTTCCGAGGCTCGTCAGAACCATCCCCGGCACACATCCGGGGCGCAAAAGCCCTGATTCAACCCTAAATCCACGGCCCTGGGATTCTGGCCGGGCCGGTGGTGGCAGCTTGAGCCACCCACTGTGGTAGAGGTCTTGCGAGAATTAAACACAAGACACTGGCACACCTCGACAATCCAGAACCTGACAGTCTGCATCCGAATCGAGCACAGGCCATAGTTCAGTGGTAAATTATGATCATACTCAGAACGGCACCCGTACCAGTACTTGAGATGTAAGGGTCGCACTTGTATTAATGTGAAAAATCCTCATCTACCTGTCTTCAAGACGCTCTTTGCTGGACGGTAACGGTAAGTGCATGAGCCAAGCTGCGGTGACATGCATTGAACCTACCATGTTCGGAAACTGCCCCATGCCCAGGTAATTGTGGATTCCCAAGAGGCAGGCTGGATCTCCGCTAGGGCTCAGGGCCCTGCAAGTAAGGATCTTTCCATTAGGGGAACCCACTCGTAACTAATTTCAGCACTCACACTCGTAACTAATTTAGGTCCTTGCATTGCGGAATCTAAGACAGGGCAGCAATGAAATAGCGTAAAATCGAAAATTCGACTAAGCACCCAACCTTGAAGGCTGTGATACCTGTAGACTCCTAAAATTCTAGAACCCAGATTATTAACAATTTCAGATCCGCCAACCAAGAGACGCGATATCTCGGACAGGTTGCTCATGCAATCTGCCATGTGCTCACTTACCTGATGAGGAACGGACTTCGGGCATTTTGAGTTTTGAGATGACAGTGTGGGGTTGCTCCTTGCAGCCCTCAGCGCGACCTGCTCTAGAAGTTGTTTGATATGGTGTGCGACTACGAGAACGGCCAGCAAAACCAAGAACAGTGACAACAGCAGCAGCAACAACAACAACAGCAATGGCAACAGCCACAGCCACAGCGACAGCAACAGCCGCAACAGCGGCAACAACGGCAACGGCAACAGCAGCAACAGCGGCAACAGCAACAGCAGCAACAGTGGCAGTAATGGCAATAACGGCAGCAACGGCAAGAACGGCAATAGCAACAGCACCAGCACCAGCACCGACACCGACACCAACACCAGCAGCAGCAACAGCACCAGCAGCAGCCAGCCACAGCCACGGCCACAGCAACAACCACCAACACCAGCATCAGCATCAGCACCAACCACCGACCACCAACAATCAACCACCAGCCACTGGCCAACCAAGACTACTGTTACTGTTGGTACTAGTATGCACACCACTGCTTCTCTACGTCTACGACTTCTACTAGATTACTACTGCTAGTGTTGTTGGGCCTACTTCTGCTCTTGCTGACCTACCGCCACCGTGACTGACGCCAGTGCTGCTGCTGCTACTGGTTCCGTGACGGCCGCCGCGGCTGCTGCTCCTTCTACGGTTACTGCTATTTGCTACTGCTGCAGCTGCTGCTACTGCTACTGCTACTGCTTCTGCTTCTGCTGATGCTACCACTACCACTGCTGCTGGCTTCCTCTGCTGACTGCTGCTCCTACTACGACGACAACCACTGCTAATCCTCCTGCTCCTGCTACTCCTACTACCACTCCTACAACTACTGCTGCTGCTGCCGCTGCCACCACTACTTCGACTACTGCAACTACTACTTCGACTACGATTACTACTGCTACTACTGCTGCTGTTGCTGGTGGTACTACTGCTCCGGCTGCTACTGCCGCTAGGGTTGTTTGCTCGAATCTCAACTGTCACACCGCTCCAGGACCCGTCCCAGGCTGACCTCGAGGCTCGACGCGTCCAGGAGGGGTTTGGGCGCTTTGGCCAGGACCTGGAGCTCAGCCGGTTCTCCGCCAGGTGCTGAAACCATGTCCAGACTTCTTACGCATCCTGTCGCAGGTGTAATTTCCGTCTTGGGCTTCATGCACTTGCACTTGCCAAGGTAGTGATTCCTTGTAGGCAGCTGGCTATAGCCCTCAACTTCTGATTCTATACTTTCGATTCCAGCCGATTCCAGTGCCTCTTTGCTCTGACCACTCTGAACAGGCTCGACCCCCCATTACAAACTCCTCAGACACGAGAGACTAGAGACTTCAATCTCGAACCCCGGACCTGGGAGGCTCGTCCAGCCACTCGAAAAAGCGAAGGCAGCTGCCCGAAGGGCACTTCAAGAAGTACCTTCCTTGCGCCCAACAAGATTTGCTTTGCTTGAAGGCCTTCCTGTTTCGATGCTCACACTCGAACATGCCAGGCGAGGTTCGTAGTGCGTGTAGCGTAGTTTGACGTAGCTTTCGGGAGAAAGGTTTAGTAGGATCTCGTGTCCCGACCCTGCGCAAGCAAAAAGATGGAGCGATGCGTGTCGGAAAACGGGCGGAGCCAGGCTTCCTCGAGGTTGGACCACTCTCTTACATGGAACAGCCGAATAGACAAAGCTGCGGAGGGGGGGGCCTCCATGTCGACTATGATATCGAGCTACGCGAAAAACTGCCCGGGATGATGGGCATGTTGATCGTGCCACACATTACAACAAGATGCATCAAGATGCTCTCCCTGCCGATGCTTCTGACAATGCAGTATTGGCACGGCAAGCATGTATTGGTTGCAAAGACGTCGGCTGGATGAGCGGCTTGAGCTAGGTTCAGGTGCACAGGACCTTTAGGCTCTTTGAATGCTTTGGGTAGAAGGACCCACCAAACAGGCGTTGCGTCGCGGGCGGACTCACTCCGTTTTATAAACATGCGCCTTGCAACCAATATTCAAGTCAGTCAATGAAAGCAGTTATTTTGTTCTGAAGTTTTCGCACACCGTTCGGCATAGCTTGCACTATGGCACTATGCTGAAGAGAGCTGTATGGCGTCAACCTCAGGAGAATTGAACTGAGAGGGCCAATTACAGCTGTCATCCCCGACCAAGCTTGACAAAGCAATTGCAGGGATGCATATTTGCTACTTAGCCTGTACTGGCCGACTAGCTGCTGGTAAGATTCTACTATCTGCGCTTGAAGTGGACACGGCTTGCAGGACTTTAAGATTCCAACAAAGGTAAGGGCTCCTACAAACCCGAAACCAAACAGGGACACTCACTTAGAACATGCGCCGGCCTTTGTTCGGGCCCTCCTTCATCACTTGATGCTTCATGGCCGTCCTAGATGAGCAGCAGCGTAGAACTCTCGAACAGAGCCGACAACCCGTGGATTTTGAGTAGTGCGCACCTCGACACTGAACCTCAACGCCCCTTCGTTGCCAGATGCTGCTGATGACGCTGCTGCTGGTCATGCTGACCATTCCATTCGCTGGGTAACCGTTTTACCTTCCGTTCACTACAGTAGCTGTCGTTACGATACTTGTTGAATGCCGCGACGATGGCGATGACTGCCACTCCAACCAACATTACAGCCTTGCTCCCACCACGTTGATACCACTGTAGACTACAACTTGCTTGTGTTCTCGTCCTTCTTTGCATCAGTCCCTTGCCCCAGACTTTTGCACCCGAAACTTCACACCTGAGCTAGAGTCAAGTCTGGACTCTAAACCCTGGGGCCTCTAGGCAACTTGAACGTCTAGGGCCTCGCCATCCGCGGCTGAACTGCACTCCGCAGGAACCTTCCCCATAGGACCCGGTATTCATTCGGCAGCTCATGCAGAACCAGGATTCCCTGTGGAGGTAGCTCCAGCATCAATCTGAAACTTCCACTTGCAATAAACGGCCACCCTACTTAAAGCTTCTGCCGGGGGTCCTAATGCTAAGCACCCTAAGCCCGAAAATCCAAGAAAGGAACCTTAGCCAGGCCCAGGCACTGCCCGCACATGCAGAGGCGCCCCGTGGCCGCCTGCCCGGCCATCTGGCCAGGCACCTGCAGCTCACAAACGGATTGGTACAGTTACCCCGGCTGACTCGAGCCTTGAAGTAACCCGTATGCTCCAGCCGCACGCCCTGAACCAATGCTGGAAAGCGAAGCGCTGAACCCGGATCTCTATGGGATGGGGGAAACTCTCTCGCCATCCTGAGACCTCCAGACGTTATGGGCCATAAGCTCTTCAGACTTTGGGGGTAAGAAGCCGCAGGAAAATTAAGGTTCCCAGGATGGTCTCTGCTTCGCAACTCTGCTGTGCAACCCCGGGCCGCAGCCTTCAGAACCCGTCGCCGCACCCGCCGCATTTCATTGCCAGTATCCCACAAGTGCAGTGAACCCTCCATGCTTAAGCACTGCCTGCACGCGGACAACAGACGAATGTAGGTGAGCCCAAGTGGGGAGTCGGACACACAGGAAGACACAACCTCAATACCTCCAGCAGAGTCAAGCCTGGTCCAGCCACTGGAAGAAGTTGCACTGCTGGTCCCGCGGCTTCGGGCACTTGAAGAAGCGCTTGCCTCTTGGGCGACTTTTGTTGGCCTCCTACTTAAAGTTATAACTGTATTTCGATGCGCCCCAAGTTATGAAATAAATCGTTCCACAAACTCAATAATCATCCCGTCCCTGGTTCCTAAAAGAACACTAGAAGCCCTTCTGTCAGCCCTCCCAGAGTCGCAGAGAGCGTCAGTGGGGGTAGTAGTGTTACTGGGACGCCTGAATCCGATGGAGGAGGAGGAGGAGGAGGGGAGGGGTTTATTGTTCTGTTGGGTGCATCTCACTGCAGGGCAAGAGCCCGATGGAAGGATCACTGCTTTTCGTGATAACACAAAGTGGCCGCCGCTGGCTTGGCCATCAAAGATATCGAACACCTGTGAGACATGCGGCTTCCGTTGCAGGGACTTGGCAGTAATGCTACTGGCCGTAATGCTCTGGAACTCCGAAGACGTAGTCGCCCCGGACCGTGCATGGCTCAGATCATCATATCACGAGTTGGGAGTATCGCTTCCAAAGGTTCACTGAATTCTCCGGAACTTTAAGGCCAATGCCGGTACCCTTAAACACTGAATCCTAAACTTGCGTCCAGCGGGCCTTGTGCAGCTTCACCCGTCGAGAGCTATCATGTCTGCGAAAGAAGAACTCTTGATTGAACCCAAGCCTAACTCCCCCAAGACCTCAACGCTTCGAACTGGGCCAGGCTGCCCTTTGTAGGCCCTTCTTTCTTCACCTCCAGCTGGATCGCCGCCTCGAGCGCAGCAAAGCAGCCAAAGCTTAAGATTTGCACGAGAGGTTAGGGGCTTGAGGTCTCGTGTATGGAGTTGCAGCTTGGGCTCTAATCCGATTTGTTGCTTCTTGCATAGCTCGACGACAAAGCTCTAACGTGATGTTTAGAAATTTCGACTTAAACAAGCCCGACTTCGGCAGTCGAGCTTCATGTGTCTCAAAGCAAGAGCTACGTGCATCGACTGTTCACTTACACGGAAAAGCTCAAGGTTTGAACATCAGATTAGAAATGTTCTGCCTGATGGGCACAGCTAGACTCAATCGTCTAAACGGACTTTTCTGGCTACACCGATGGCCTTTTTTTAGATTGTATGAGACCTTGGCATCGGACACGGGCATCGTTAATATGAACTGCTACCTCGAGCTGCTGCAATTGAACCCCAGCCTTGAATCCTCGTCACCCCATACGATTGTATGCTTGCCGACGGCACCATCCCGCTGAACAGGCACAGCCACGGCAACAGTGGGTGCACACACCACCCCAAGGAAGCCCCATATCGACTGCTGCCCTGCTTGAGATTACACATCGCTTTTGGGGGAAGGTGAATGTCGCGGTTGCCGACGACTCGAAGCCCGCCTGAGGTTGCAGGCACCGACACCGGGGCGCTCCCGGAGTCCCCGCCCAAACGAAGAAGTCGCAGTGTTCGGCCTCCGGGAAGATGCAGCACCTCGTGACCAAACACACACAAGCTCTGCATAAGCATTATCTGTATATACGTTACGCAGGTGCACATACGTATACAGATACACATACATATACATATACAAATACATATACGTCCACGTATACATTTACCTATGCCTATACGTGTACGTATACGTGTACATATGAACATATGGGCGTACGTGTATGTTCGTGCCGATCGTTTCATTAGTTTCATGATGGGGAGTTTGGCTGTGCCACTGCAGTGTGGGTTCAGACTCGGGGTTCAAGCGGCCAGCCCTTGTAATCACTCGAACCCTAGATTGACGACATCTTGAAGGTCCCGGTTTTCAGCTTACTGGAGTCTGCCATTCGGGAACAGCTTGGCAGCTCGAACTTAGACCTCCGTAGGTCCAGAACTACTGAAACGTCGTTAAACAAAAAGGGTCACATTTACACAATGCATACGTGCTCCGCACCCGTGTGCTGGGTCGGCGTCGTCAGGATGCTTCGCAGCTTGCGGGCTCGTCAGAAGACAGATTAGCCGCGACAGGCTGTAGAAGTGTACATGTTTGTGAGACATGAAACCGATAAATTAGCTAGCGTATGAACTGACCAAATACTTGAAGCGTGCTCGTGGTACATCCTGCTGAAAGCGGCCTAGCAGCGTGTGAAGGCGGAAGCTGCAAGGAGCACACACAACACAATGAGCTGAGAAGCCACCCATGTGATGCCTATGGCATGGGTCAACCCTTGGACCCATCCCCCCACAGCCTGTAGTACTCCTTCCCGGCATTTGGGCCGGAACTCGCCACGGTCTTTCGCACTGCCGGCATCCCGCAGTCACATGATGGGGCATCCCGGTCCTGGTATGCAGAGTGTGCCGCACCCATGCAGCACCACCAACTCACAGCAGAAGTAGAAGTGTTGAGATAGGGTTCGTGCCACGTGCATCTACAGCACCCAGTCTTCAACCTGCAAATCAAGCACTCAGCAACGGCACTCGGAGAAAGCTGGCAAAGTTCGACCCCAAGCCTTGATGCACGGGGGGCGTGTTATTACCTGGCTCGCAGTAAGTAAGAAGCCTTTTGAATACTTGTGTTGCCGGAAGGGTTCCGCCCTGCCGGCAGCACGTGCCGCCCTCTTTGCATTGTACACGAATACACCGGCGCTCCAGTGGCGACAGAAACGAAAACCCAATCCACTTAGGCACAGCTACGAACCCAATACCGCATCCTGAACGCTGTACTGCAACTGGTTGCAACCGAAATGCAATAAAATCATGCGCTAAAGTTCTTCAGCACTCGATATCAGCCCTTCCTGGTCGAAGACCCTCGAAAACCGGCTTCCCTTGTGCCCCTTTTGGGGGATCTCCTCTTCCTCCTCGTCTGACTCGGGCGCCTGACGGCGGCGGCACTAGTGCTGAAGACGAACTCGAAGATGAAGATCATGACGGTAATGATGGAGGTGGTGTTTATCGTGATGCAACATGAAGTCTTGACAAGGCTGATCAAGCTGATCAAGTAAAGGGGGAAGCAGTGTGGCAGCAGAAGCCATTGAAGCAAATTGCAATTAAGCAGGTGAGCGTCATCCGACACAGGGTTCAGTAGCCACTGCTCGGGGAAAGTGTACAGGGTCCTTGTAGTATCTAGAAACTTACCCGTCCTGAAACAAACCGCACCGTGAATGGTACTTGCTCCAAATTGGCCACAGTGAGATGTCAAAGCGCGGGCGAGGTTTCAAAGCCCTTGATGAAAGCTTCGATTCCAAATCCTCGAACCCTGAACTCCGCGTCACTGCAACGCCTTGTCTTGTGATGGCTCCGGGGCAGCTTCCGTCTTCCTTCCAGCAGGGCCATATACTCAGCAAGCGTAGCTACTGCAGAGATCAAGCACCTTTTGAGTGTCCCTGGAGTAAAAGCCCTTTCCCGCGAGGGTGTGCCTTGGCCCTGTGTGGGTAACTGACCGAGAAATCGACACGGTAAGTCGTCAGGGCGAGGACGGTAAGAAAAGCCGACGAGGGTCGGGAGTATGCCACAAGCCATTGTACATTTTACTTGCTTTGTCTCTTCCATCTCCTTCCCTGGCTGCCAGCTTACCATGGTCATTCAAGCAGTTGATCGGAGCTGCAATATGCACAAGGCGTGGGTCTCCAGCTGTTGAGCTTTGCTTATCATGTTCTGTCTTCCCACCTGTGGTCCTTTCCGACGGAGCCGATGCAGATTTCCGATGGTGCTGTCTTCCCGCGAGCTTAGCATTAGCGCGACCTTCATGACTTCATGACTTCCTCCAGAATTCTTCGTAATCTGTTTGTCCGAGTTGGTCTCCAAGAAGCCTTCCTCACTCCGGAAAGCCTCTAGTGGAGCTCGGCTCCCGCGATTCTACATTCTGCCGTCCTGCACCGAAGTTTGGCGAGAGCGGAAGGGTCGAATTGGAGGTTGCATCGAACCGGATCGAAAGTCGAAGCGGTCAGCTTGAACTGAATAAACCAGCTCGTGTTCACCTGAAACACCGTTAACCACATGACATGAGTCTCTGCACCCTTGTTGCATCCGGTCTGCAGCCTCTCTACCGGGTCCGCCCTCAAGCTTGTTCATGAGGAACGACTAGTTGAAGACCCTAAAACCCAAGCCCCTGCCTAGCATCGAGCTGGAGGACGGCCCTGTGCTTCCGTAGAGCCCGCACGTCCTGGCTCTCTGGAGATATAAAGCTTGCGCTTGAAAACTCATCTACTTTAAGGCTTCCCGCCGGTTCACGGTCCCGGTGTATGTTGCAGAACCGAGGTGTCTCAGCGTGCGTCTGCTGAGAAACTCGGAGTCCTTGCTGTTGGTGAAAACTGACAAGGTGCATTGCAGGAAACCTCAATCAGGAATATCTTCGCCACGAACACGTCACGAAAAGAGGGGCCCGGGTGCAGGGAGTTCTCTTGATCGATGTTGAGCACGTCCTTCTCGCATGCTCTCTGTCAAGCTTGTCGTCGTCTTTGCCATTCTGGTCTTTTGGGACCATGCTGATATGGTCACTATTGTCACTATTGAAATTGACCGCCCTGCCCCCTCAAAAAATAAGGAGGCCAGTAAACCGACCAACACTGCCTATGCTCAAAAAATACCCAAACCACAGTTGAGTCGAGCCCCAGTCTAGGAGGGTTGACTTCCCAAAACCCTGGCCATGGCCCGAACACTAATGCACGAAGGGCCGGTTGCTGCCTCCTCTCCGGCGGTTTTGGCCATGAGCTCCTCCCAGGAATCACCACAGGGTTTAGGGCCTGAGGGCCTATTCTGCGATGGCAGAGCTGTTTCGTGTGTAGGGTGTAAAGTACGGGGCTCACGGATAAGGCTGCTGGGCTCTGTAAGGTTGTACTGGAGCCTTTACAGCGTCGAAGGTTTCAAGGCTCTTGCTGCACAAGCCCGGGGAGCCGGCTGCGCCCAAGAGCAGAACACATGGGGCTTGAGGGCTCAAGGTCTGTGATCTGATGCTGTACTGAACAGGACCTCGAGTCCTCAAGTTTCAGGGCCGAGGTTGAGCAGTCTAGCACTCCTCGACAGTGAATGCAAACACACATTCCTGCACCGCGTCACCGATTCACTCTTTTTATGTCCCTGACTGCCCTTCCGAACACATTTCAAGCCCCAGCCAAAACTCCAAGCTCGCTGCGGTGCCTATGTAGACAAACTTAGGACACGAGCGGAAGCGGTCTCCTTTGCATCGCCACCTCTGCTCACGCGCTTCTTGGCGTGCGCCTTCTCTTTCAAGCGAGCGGCCTTCTCACCTGAAGGTCGTGCCTTTTCTGCTTGTGAGCTTCTCGACAGGCAAGGCTTCACGACGACTGGTCCCCTAAATAAACAAGCACTGTTAATGCAACTAAGCACAGAGGGCCTTCTCTTCCACAGCATCCACACGCAACTAAGCCTATCTCAACCAGCAGCAAAGGCGCTGGAGGCCCATGCACTCACAGGCTCACCACAACCGTCAGAAAGCGGTCCCACATTGACATTCTCTCCAACCAAACCATCAACGTGACAAAGCCAAGCCCAAACCTTCGCATGTGGAGAGGAGAGGAGATGAGAGGAGAGAGGGAGGGAGGGAGGGAGGGAGGGAGGGAGAGATGGAGGGACGGAAAAAAGACAGCTGGACCAGGGAAAAAACTAGTGCCTCTAGGCCAACCTCATCACGTTTCAGTTGCCGTGTGAGAGCGCTCGTTTAGGCTTGGTTAACACAGTCTTGACCAAAACCATTGCACATGTCGTTTTTCCCCTTCTCGGGAACTGCATGGGGCCAACGCCCAAGTAGTTCACCTGGAGCGGTCCTAGCTGCTACCCGCCATCGGACATACTACACCCGGACCCCAGACGAGCTGCCAAAGAGATACTTCACGCATTTCTGGCATGACCAGAAAATTTCGTGCATCATCTGGCCTAAGCGGAAAAGACATCTTTGGACGAAGCTGGATGGCTTGTCGTTGAAGTGATCCATAATCGCTCCAGTGTCTGGTCGCGCTTCAACATAATGTTGCTGTCTACGTTGTGGCTCTTAGCGGTCATAGTCAGGACACGGACCCTCCCGTTCAAGGCCACCCGGGACCCAAGCACCGGGGGGCAAGAGGAACAAGCCGTTTGGTGTCTGCCTACAAACTAGCTTCTTCCCTGTTACTGGTGACTCATTATGCGCCTTATTGCGGTGGCTTCCATTGCAATTACCATTGGTCCTCTTGTCGGGACTAATTCCTGTTCTAATTATTCCTGCTGTTGCTTCTACTTGACATCGATGCTCACCAAGCCTGAAACTTCCGCATGATACACCTCATGCACAGTTACTCGCAACCCTGAGCGAGCCTGAAAGCCTCGACCTGACAAGGACCCGAAGCCTGGGGGCCTGAACCTCTTTATCGCAACCTCGCAACCCACTGCTGTTCCTGCAGCCCACAGCCCGTGAGCCTTTCAGGGATTCTTGCTGCTCAGGTTTGGGAGCCATGATACGTTACTACGCTTGAAGCTTTCGGCCGAGACTTAGCCTTGGGCTTTGGGCTCATTCCTGAGGGTCTTGAATGCAGGAAGATGATTCTAGGGGCTTCCTCGTGCACTGCACCCTGAGCCCAACTGCAAGTAAGACCAAACCCGGGACCGTGAACCCTTAGCCCTGATGAACTCTACGGTAAGCTTTGTTTCGCATCACATTGCACGAGACTTGCCAGATTGCACTCAACCTTGAAACCTGAATCTTCACTCCAAACCTTCCGCCGAAAGCCTTTATCGCTTGAACCCCTGGGCCCTAACCTTGCACCCTAAAGTCCTAAAGCCTTCGCAACTGCAGCCGCAGGGTCGCTGGTCAACAGCAGTTTGATCCAAGGCCTGCGGTGGCTTCGGGGTTTGGGTTTAAGGTTGCCTTGATGCCGTTGCACGTCCAACCTGGGAATCTTGGTCCGGCACAAACCCCTCAACGTGGCCGGACTTTCGGTGTGGGACGATACATGTAGACGAGGGAGGGTTGCGTGAAACTGACTGATGAAGCTTATCATTATTTATGCTGACTTCCCTCGTTTTGAGATCACCGCGATAACAGCTCCTGGTTGTTGGACCGTGATAATTCCCTCGGCTGCGAAAGGCACCAGCGGTATGGCAAGCACGTCTCTTGTAAAGGCTCTGGCTGCCCCCCCTGCTATGGGCACTCGATGATTATCATAACATGCCTCCGGGTATTTGCACCTCCCTGTTTGGCTCGCCGAAGCCTCGCTGATGCCCATGGCCGCGCAGCGCTCACAGCGCGTGGGGCAGGCACCGATCTTCCGAAAGGCACGAAGGCAGAAGAGGTGCCTGGCTTCAGAAGTTTTCCCCACCAGCCCAGCTGACATGGTCGCACCACAGGGAATCTACCAAACCCCGAGCCAAAGATGAAGTCTCGCCTTTGCCGCCCGCAGAAGTCGCAATGGCAGTCAGTGAGCATCGCCTGCATAAACAAGTGTGTAATACTTTCAGCAATATCTGGAAGCGGAGTATGGACTCACAACGGATGTGTCCAGGTGAGGTTCTTTGCATCAACAAGTTCTTCCTGACTTGTGGAAGTGACATGCTGGAGCAGTGGGCTCGCACCATGCATTACATGTCAACGAGATCTGAAAAATCTTAAAGCTGCACGCCGGTAGGCTAAAAGCTGCAAAATGGAACCGGAAACCTGTTTCGAGGTGACACAAACCCCCACCCCAAACATCGATTTTCTCTTCCAAACCAGAGTTCGACAAGCTGTCAACTGAAGGTTTCGGCGCTCACACTCGGACAACCCAGGAGAGGCGCATGGTTCCAGTACAACAACTTGCCCAGAATAAAGGTTTACGCTCTCGCAATCTCGGGTTCGAAGTGCTTTGACTGGTCGGCAGTATGAAGGTTTAGGGATCCGGGATTCAATCACCCTGAGAGATCAAAACATAAGCCACACAGCCCATACCTTCGCAGTATCTGGCGAGGGGCGGAATCTAAGTCGATCTGGCTTGGCTCCCTTAGCAGTTGCGAGCAGCCGTTCACATCACGCACCTGGGCCAGAAGGGGTGCATATCGGAATAACTATAGAGAAAACACAGCCCGGCTGAGGATAAAGGGCTGCTCAAAGCCTTCCCGTTCTGAACGTGTTCAGTGTTCAAGGTGAGGATGGGTTTGACATGTGTCAGCTGAAAGCACGGATGCTGGAAGACTCTGCGCATGTCACTATCCTGATCAAGTTTAAGCTTGGCAATGCTGTTCAAAAAGTATGCTGCGAATCGTCACGTTAGTGTTGCTGTCTTGCTGAGTATTCTCTCCGGTACTGGGCGATGCTGGAGGCACAAGTCACCAGGCACAGGTACAATGTGCTCAAACAGAGCGAAAAACCAAGCCGTTTGTAACCCAGTCGCAAACTCGCCATGTGCTGGGTTCGAACAGATGAATCACATGCCGAATCATGTCGAAACTGCAAGCACTTGGACCTGATGATGGTGCCGATGCTGCCATGTTAATAGTCATCCCGGGGGCGAGAACAGCCATGCATTACGCTGACATGAGGTTGTCATTCGGAGGAAGTGCTTCTTCCGACCTCTTACTGCAGCCGCGCAGCTGCTACGACCCAGTTGAAGCGCGAAACGTGCCACCAACGGATGACGCTGGTAATGGCCCGCATGTCCTGGATGTTATCCACCCCACCTGCTGCAGAATTTCCGAAAATTCAGGAGCGAGCAAGAAACATCGGTGCCGGGAATAATCGGGCATTGTGCACCGAAGTGTGCGCACCCGGACTGCTGTAGAGTTTTGACTCCTCCTCTATGACTAAGACTAAGACTATCACTCACAATTACAGTACACTCGCGCAAACAAGGGCTGTGCTGTGAAGATCGGCAAGTCTTCTGCAGTGGTGAATTGCGTCAACAGGTTCGGGGCTCCAGGGCAATGCTGGCTGCCGCATGCATGCACTTCAGCACTCTCCTCCTGCACAGCATGCACTGTCGCAGGATCTGGCCACTGCCACATTTCTTCAGCCTTTCAGCCTAAGAAGACAAGAGTTAAAGAGGATTAAAGAGGGCTTCGGACTGCTGTGGTCACGTGCTGTACTGCCTATATCCAGCTGGCACTGCACGGTGAGAGATGATGCCTGCGTAAACATGGCCCCTGCCTTGCGACGGCTGGTCTTGCTGGTCCTGCTCGAAATCGTCCACGATGTCCGAGACGAGCCTGAGGAGCCAGTGTTCACGAACCCGAAGCCTCAGGTCCTGCCCTGGCAATCTTTTTCCTCTTCATGTGCCGGTTTTGTCCTGTTTCACTCAGGACTCAACCCCAAATCCGAAGCTCTAGCCCTTCCCTCTGCAGTTCAAGGGTTCCTCGACAGGCATTCCCCGCCCAAAAACCCATGGGTTGGGAATACCACAATCCCCCCTTTCACCACGCCAATAAGGTAGGTAGGACGCCTCAGCGGCCTCCTGTAGTTCTTCCTATTGTTTGCTCCCTCCGCATCCTGCGCGCCGAGGGTTGAAAGTGAAAGTTGGGTTGCAGCGGTGAGGCGAGGTTGCTCTTTTCAAGCCCCACCCCCTACCTTCCCAAAGCCAGCTAGAGGCCCCCACGACCTTTTAGCTTGCTTTTTGGACCACCTCCACCTCCCCAAAACCAGAAAAAGCTCCACCCGTCCCCCTTTTGCCGGGAGCTTCTCCAGCCCGTTGCCATGGGCCCTGGACTGACGAGCGCCCCTAGCGTCGCACGCCTGGGCCGAAGCACAATGCGTGCCTTGCAATCAACATCCAAGCACGCTTACCTCCTATGCTATGCCGAAATCCGACCCCTCCAAAAAGCTCCACTTTCATCCTATTTAAACCCCGGTTTCTCCTATGTTAAATCGTATTTCGAAATCTGACCCTATCCGAAATCCTATTCCAAATCCTTCTTTCCCCTGAAGTAAAATTTGTCTGAACTCCTCGATGCTGGCCAAGAGCTTTTGAGGGAATACTCGTCTAGTAGGTTTGTGAACATATTGAAGTTCTTGATCAGTGTTGCTGTTCATAGGTCGACATATACTGTCGTTTGCATCCTCAAGCCTCGTCCTGGACAGCTATTTTTGCCGAAGCACTGTGCCAAAGGCTGATGAGTGAGCCGCTGGGGATCGCGTGTCCTCGGCTTTATGTAGGCTTCTACACGCATTGTGATCAAGCATGTCCTCCCGGCATATCTCAGCAAGCCATTCCGGCGCACACGACTTGCGCCGTAGTAGACTATACCAGTGCTTGCTGTAATTCGTTTGGAGAACGGAGAGAGAGAGAGACACGGAGAGAGAGGGAGAGAGAGAGAGAGAGACAGAGCGCGAGAGAGAGAGAGAGTGAGAGAGAGCGAGGGGGAGCGAGAGAGAGAGAGAGAGAGAAAGAGCAAGAGTAAGAAGACTCAGACAGTCTGTGTGCGTGTGTGCGCACGTTTGTACAATGTGTATATATATATATACATGTGTATATATATATATAGAAATACACACACATTATATACATACTGTATATATATATATATATGTATGCTCACCCCCACCCGTTGACAGACCATGCCCTTGTGATAGTGTACTCTCGTTCGGTGACTAGGCTGAGATATTGTATCTAAACACACCACACATGACGACAATCTGTAAAGCAAATCCTTTACAGTACATATATCAAGTATACTTTTAACATGCCATGTACTGAGGACGCATGGACCAGACGCGAGACACGTGAGTTATGAGTTTTGTGGTAGCATTGATATAGGATGAGTATGAGTATTAATATTGGTATTAGTTTTAGTATCAGCAATAGTATTAGTGTTTACTGTAAGTATATATACTTATATGTATATATCGACGGTAGTAAGTATACATTAATGTTAGTGCTCATCTTCGTTTCGGTCTTAGTGTTAGTGCCAGTGTCAATGCCAGTAATAGTACCACTGCTAGTATTAGTATCAGTCTTCATGCTGGGTTTAATATCAGATAATAATGGCAGAGGTGCTAGTATTGGTATCAAAATTCGAGTTAGTTTCGATATGTTACTATTCTGATCGTTTCGTATATCAGCAGGTTAGTGTATCAATACATTGATGTGTTCGAGAGGCAACATATTTGTATACTTGCATATTCGTAGATTTAATACTTTAGTACAACTGATGCATGAGTAAACTAGTATATTGCTGTATTAAAATATTAGTATATTAACCTACCAGTATATTCGTACATTAATGTATTAGTGTACTAGTATATGCAATATACGCGTATTGTCTAAAGATCTATAAGTATATCAGTATGTTGTCATATTAGTACACTAACCTGCCATGTCGGTATACTTGCATATTACAGTAGTCGTATACTAGTATAGTAGCATACTAGTATAATAGCACACCAGTATAGTATATTCACACATTAACAAGTAGTGTATTGTTACATTGGTATATGGGTATATGCTTGTCCTAAAACATCAGTACATGAATGCATTGATACATGTCGGCATTTTAAGATAATGGTATGTGTTCTGGTGTGCATTAGCATATGCACGTGTCTTTTGTAATGGTATTAGTCTTCACATCAAATATGACTATTGGTATTCGTAGGAGTATTAATGTTAATATTCGTATCAGGATTATCCATAGTCGCATTAGCCTTAGTATAAGTGTTAATAATTGTATTAATACTGGCATTATCTTGAATATTCAACAAGTTATCAATGTCAGTATTAGTATTGGTGACAGCATTACTGTTAACAGCAAGAGTATACGCAGTAGTATCCGTAGGAGTATCAATACTTATGTAAATCTTGGTGTTGGTATAAATAGTGTGATTGGTATTAGTAATAGTGCTAGTGCTAATATTAAAATGAGGTTATGTATGTATTCGCATGAACGTTTGTATTATATTAGTATTACTCCTGATTACATGAAAATACTAACAGATAAATACATGCATGAGCTAATGTATTTGTACTTGTATATTTATGTACATTGGTATATGCAGGTGTGTATTAGTATTGGTATTAAAATACACTACTACCAATATGGGCATAATTCTTGATATGCGTAGGAGTATGAACGTCAGTATTAATCATTATTAATATTTGTATGGTGCCTATTCGTATTGGCTTAAAAAAATGTAAATATTAGTGTTAGTGCTGGTGTGAGCTTGGGCAGTCAGCAAATGATCAATGTCAGTATTAGTATTGGTAATAGTATTCGTAGGAGTACCAGTTTGAAAACAAAAAATATATATGTATATATATATATATATATAAACACTGACAATCGTCTAAACAGACCTTGCCTTTGCAAGTGAGTCGTAGTGCATGGTCTGTCATCCGATGGGTCACAATCAGCCCATTGAAAATCAATTCCAGAAGTTCCAAAATTTCCGAAATTTCCGAAATTTCCAAAATCTCCGAAATTTCCGAAATTTCCAAAACTTCCGAAATTTCCTGAAGTTTTGGAAATTTCGGAAATTTTGGAATTTTGGAAATTTTGGAAATTTTGGAAATTTCGGAAATCCGGAAAGTTAGGGGAGAGAATTTTGGAAATTTTGGAATTGGGTTTTTGAAAGCTGAGTGCCCCCTCCCCCCGATCACAGACCATGCACTACGACTGAGTTGAAAGGGCATGGTCTGTCAACGGGGGGGGGGGACCATATATATGTATATATAGACATACATATATAGATATAGATTCTGCCTACTCACTCGTCCCGTAGAAAGGTCTATAGGTATCTCTACATACACAAAAGCATTTAAAATGCCGAGCTGAGGCCTCTATGCATTTCGCACGGCTACACCCCCGAGGACCACACCGTGTGTCGACGACCGCGAAGCTATTGCCGAGGTCCTGATTGCAGGATTGCAGGATCCCGGTGTGCATTTGGACAGAAATGATTATTTGCAAAGGGCTCAGAGAACCGGAGAAATCGGACACACCTTTCGCAATGCCGCAGGCAATCTTCATTGTGGTTCAGTGGGGACGGTGGATACCGAAAGGAATAAGGTGGGGTGGCGGGTGGCGGTTGGTGGGCAATCCACACAAGCAGTTATTGCCTGAAATATCTCGATACCACGTCCACACTGGTCCATACGATTAAGAAATACATTTATAGGAATCGCATGGCTTGCCCCGATAAGGTGCTTGGAAGCCGGCTCGAAGAAACTTTAGATACATCTCGGATGCGAAGTGAGAACAGTTTGGGGCTCGGAATACACTTTGGATTCGAGCGAGTCGGATATGCTGTGAGCTCGGAATGCAGGTTGAATACACTTTACTTCGAGCAATACCCTATCCATGCTGGACGGACGCGAGCGTCCTGCGGCAAGATGGCATCACCTCAGGGGCCGGAAACTGACTGAAACCAGCTACCTATCTGCGACTCTCAACAGTCTCGTGGCCCAGCTTGCATCCTGCGCTCCAGTCCTGAAACCGGAGTCTTTGGATTCAACCACAAGCCTCTTCAAAAGCCTGCACATCTTTAACCTCCCCTGAGCGAGAGAAGGACTAGACCGCAAACAGATCTTGAGGCATGGACCCTTACCCCGAACCCGATGGCGAAACCACAAATCCTAAGCCCTAAGCTTAAACTACATGATCTGGCAGAGAAGCCCGCGATGCTCTCCAGGGGTGATTCCGCGCCCGGCGCCCGGATCTCCCAGCGTCCCGCTTGCTTCCTGCCTTTCAGAGAAACTGGACTTACGGATTTCGACTCTCATGGACATAGACGCTCATGCAAGTGTGACAGACAGCCCGGCACTGCGAAGGCTTGCATGCTTCGCCACGCAAATGCTACGGCCAAATTGCAGGCCGTATGACTATGCATCCCATGCAAGCGGATCCGAGACACTGTTGACCCTCCCAATTGTTTCACACAACATTAATATTTACAGAAAGACCATACATTTTCCACACACCATCCCTGCGAGGCTACTCCCCCACAAAGCACCGAGAACACTCTGCGAAACTCTGACCGGAGCCACCTTTTCTCGAAGGCGGTACGTAAGACAACTCAAAGAGGTCCACAGCTTTGGTCTCCTCCTGCGAAAAGCTTCCAATGTGGGGCCTCTTTTTTTAACTACAACCTCAATTGTGCGTCCTTTTCTGCTCTACCCCGATTCCTTGTTGACAGGATTTCTGATGCAATGTGCCTAAACCCATCTGCTTCAAAACCGCCCTCGGGATGATGCCTTGCAATCTGCTACAGTCCAGAGAATAGGTCCTAAGTGAAAATGTAAGTTGGCTGTCTGCGGGTTTTCCGACCAACTCGAACTTCCAACCCATCCTGCAAGGGCCCTTCGACACCTGGAGCTAGCTGGCAAGAGAGTGGGGGAGCCCTGGAAGTTTCAGGACTTGGGACCATCAGACGGTCTGGAGCCCGGAGTCCTGCCTCGTCTTGAAACTCTGCGTCCACCACTTTCCTATACCTGAGTTGAAACAGCAGGCACATCGACGAGTGGCCACGCGGAACTATGCCACGAGACTGCGGGCTGCGCAAATTGACTGTGGGCCTTCAACTCCTGCCTGCTTTCATTGCAGCTTAGGTTGTTGTTGGGGCTTCTTGGGTCAGGGGGTCGGTTGCCTCCGCCATCCACGGGGGCTCTGTCGGCTTGGAGTTACGTAGCGTTGGATGTGGGCTACCGTCTCTTGTAGAGGCTTTGGCGAGGCGCTGTTTTAGCGCGAAGCCGGAGCCGAAGCTCTAACTGACTAGAATGATCCTAACAAGCCGAATGAGCTGCAAGGGTTTTGAAGCACCCCATAACGAAAACACTGCCACAAACGGAGATGCTTCTGACCGGACAAGTTTGGTGGCCAAGCCGAGTGGCACAGGTCGCCAGTTGCCACGGTGGCGACAGAGCTGATAAAGCCCGGAGGCGGCGTCGGCATTGCGGGTGGCCTGTCGGGCGCTTCTATTGGCATTTGGGTTTCGTCGGGTGACAAGCTTGCTTCTGGAACGGCAGCTGCGGTTTTCGAAAGGCCATCAACCACTTCCTACCGATACATGCAAGTGTCTTTCAGCATGCACAACTGTGAGAAGCCTTGCGAGCTGTCTTTAAACTCAAGGCTCTCCGGGGATCCCCCTAGCAACGTTGCAGGTGTGTTTAGGGCACAGGGCTCGGAAGCATCCCAACCTCGTCGAATGTGAGAGATTTTCGGCATCATCCGACACGACAACGACGAGCAGAGCCAGTGAGACCCCGAAAAACTTGATAAACACAAACTCCTTCAACCCTAAACCCTGAATCTGTTGAACCTGCAAATCGGACCTGGTAGCGCAAACGCTGTGCCGGCGCCGCATAGCAGTGCAGGGAAGATAAGACCTCCCCGAGGCAAAACTTGTGGTTTCAGGGTCGCCTGTATTTCGTGATCGCCCGGTCTCTTCATGAATCACTCCACAGAATGATTTGTGGGCGGTCGCCCACGTCTTCTCGAGCCTACTCAAAAGATCGAGAGGTACACGGGTGGTCGCCCGTTCTTGATCAGTCCAAGACCGCGTTTCGTGAGCGATCACTCAAGAATCGATATACAGGATATACGGGTGGTCGCCGGCGCTACGTGTTTCATCAAGTTTCATCACCAGGGATGTAGGCGGTCGCCCGCGCTTCTTGATTATTCACTCAAAAGATCAGAGGATACACGCGATTGGTCGCCGGTGTTATTAATCAGGTGGTCGCCCGCGTTTCGTGATTTATTGATTAATCATTGAAAGCTGGAAGGAACATACGGGTGGTCGCCCGCGCTTCGTGAGTAATCACTCGAAACACCGAGGGACATACGGGTGCTCGCCTACGGTTTGTGATAATTCAAACCACTCAAAAGATCGAAGTATATACGGGTGGTCGCTCGCATTTCGTGTTTAACCAGCTGGTCGCCCGGGATTCGGGATTCATCATCCAAGCCGGTCACTCTTCTGATCGTATGCGGAGGTGTGGAAACCCAAGAACAAACAGAGGAAATTCATTAACATTTGGATCCAAGACAGTTTGAATTCAGTGTTGCGACACACTGATGTTTGTGGAGCAGTTGCAGGTTGGGAAAGCTTTTCGTGCGAGTATGAGAATTGAAAAAGAAAAATGTAAAAGGGATGTATATGTATATATGGATCGTATAATAGACCAATAGACAACAATAGATTTCGGCCATCTGAGTTGGAATCTGCAGGCCCGCCACCTTTCAAGTATAAACCAAAAAGAGCGATTCCCGGCACGATGCTGGAATTCGGGCGCACGGCTGCAACCCGGGAAAGTACTCTGCCTCGATTTCGTAACCTTTCTGTGGCGTTTGGGAAGTTTGGGGTTTGGGTTCATAGTTGTCTCCTAAAGGGTTGTGATTGGATTTGCGGGTGGTCATTCCAAGCACGATTGCTTCGCATTGGGATCATTGCTTCGCATGTGGGATCTCGCCGGAATCGGCACATTGGCATGCATGTGGGCGGTAACATAGCTTATTCTGCGACTGCACATTGGGAACTGTGACAATTCGATTTTGCTTCGCTGTCCGAAACCTCACCTCTAAAGGCGCATGCAGGACAGTCTCATAGATGCCAGAAATTGCAACAGGAAGGGTCTAACAACCAGGATAAGCACTGAAACCGGCATGTGCAAACATGCCAAAAGCATAAATTCCAACCATCCAGCCGAGGCCTGCTTGTCCTTGTTCTTCCACTGCAAGTCCTACCAGAATGGTTGCCCCGTCCCTCAGTTCTGTTTGCCATTACGTGTCATAGTAACTCGACGCTTGCCGGTTGTGGTTACGGCATGCTTCCCCATTGCACGCCCTCGTTTGAACAACCAAGGACAGGTCTTTCGGAAGTCGAGGTAATGATGTGTTAAAGACTCTTGTGACACTCCGCTGGGACTTGTTTCCAGTTCCAGGCAAGCTTCGCAACGTGCCCTCTGCACTACTCCTTTTTTGCAAATCCGCGCAAAAATAATTGTGTAGACCGAAGAAAAGCATAGACTCTCCCAGCTCGAGCTATGCCCAGCGATGTATGCGGCAGATTCCAGATTCACACCAGAACTCTATCACACTCTGGCCGTGAGAAGTATCACGAATGGCAGACGCCCTTTTCCCGTGGTAGTGTACTGTCGGGAGTAGTCAACATGATCGATGCTGCGGGGCAACAGGCTGCATGCACAGGCATGCACAAAAGTGGAAGGCGTTACACCTCGGCAGAGTCAAGCTAAATAACATACAGTTTGGACACTCAAAGAGGTGTCCTTCTGAAGCCCTTCCGGGCTCAAATCACCACAGCGCTTTCTGATGTGAGGGTGGTGCCGTTGATGTACTTGACATGTAACTGGTTGATCTTGCCATTGTACTTGAACGGCACTCGATCCTGGTACAGCAGAGAGACGGGTGAACCAAGATCCATGCCCACATCAAATGTCTCCGAGGCATCGAAGGCCAAACGCATCGATTTCTCCACGAAGAGCGAAGCTACCAAAGCTCCATCTACGAGCATAGTCAGTTGCGCCGGAGCTATCACAGGCTGTGATTCGTACTGCAACTTGATCTCAATTTTTGCGTTCCCCTCCTTCAGCGGTGCGGACGACTTCGTAATGTAGCGGTACAGCAACGTGGCCATGTACTCTGCGTAGAGATAGCCCTGATCCATGTATACAGAGAAGCCGCCAGCGGTTCCGCCCACGCAGTACAACACCCCGGAAGCATTTTTGGCCACCTCCACGTCCAGAGTGGCGATGGAGCTAAAGCCGGTACGGAAAAGAGGAGCATTGGATTCCGCTATGCGCGTCATGCCCTCGTAGAGATACCACTCCGTCAAGGGTGACTTTGGACCTTGCTCTGGGTGATAGGCGATGGTCCACAAGCCTGCTCCGACGGGAAGGACCTTGTTCTTCTGTGCCTCCACGAGGAAGATACCCTTCATCTTGTTCACCTGCTCCGGCATTTCCTTGGCAAGGTCACGGGCCTGGGAGTAGTCCTTGGTCAAATCATAGAGCTCCCAAACGTCGGTGTCCGGGTTCCATTCCTTCAAGCGTGTTGCGTTGGTTCCCGTCCACGGGATGCGAGGGCCGAAGACGCTCGCAAACCAACCATCCTTGTAGACGCCACGGCTGCCCATGACCTCGAAGTACTGCGTATCCTTCCGCCCCACTGCTGAAGCATTGTTCCAGGTGTACACCATGGAGACACCGTCCAGGGGCATCTGAGTCGTGCCCTCCACATGCTCGGGCGGCTTGATTCCAATTGCCTCGTAAATTGTGGGCACGACGTCGCAGACATGGTGGAATTGGGATCGCGGAGTTGGGTCATGCTTGATCACTTTTGGCCAAGACATCACCATGGGCGTTCGTGTGCCGCCGAAGTGGGCGGCCACCAACTTGGTGCTCTTGAAAGGTGTATCAAGGGCCCAAGCCCAGGAGCTGTGGTACATGTTGTGCACATGCTTCGAGCCAAGAGCACTGAGACCACCGAAGTCTCGCTCCAAGATCTCGATTTGCTGCTCGGCAGTGGCCGGCAGCCCATTCTCCACAATGAGCTCGTCAATGCTGCCATGCAGACCTTCTGCAGAGGCCCCATTGTCGCCGAGAATGTAGATCACCAAGGTGTTGTTGAAGAGACCTTGGCGCTCGAGCTCTTCGATGACCTTGCCATCCTGCGTGTCGGTATGCTCGAGGTAGCCTGCGTACACCTCCACCAGGCGAAGCTGGAATGCCCGCTCTGTGTCTGAGATGTTCTCCCACTTTTGCATAGTGGGGTCTATCTCCGTCAGCTCTGTCGTGGGTGGGATCCATCCCATGGCCTTCTGCTTCTGGAAGGTGATGTTGCGAAGCTTCTCCCAGCCCATGTCAAACTTTCCCTTGTACTTGTCAGCCCACTCGCCGTGGACATGGTGGGGCCCGTGGGTGCCACCAGGAGCGAAGTAGATGAAGAAAGGCCGATCTGGCGTAAGGGCACGGTTGTTGCGAATGAACTTGACCGCTTGGTCAGCGAGATCCTCCGTGAGGTGATATCCCTCCTCCGGCGTGTAAGGAGGCTCAATAGGGTTGGTGTTCTCGAAGAGCCGCGGCTCGTATTGCGACGTCTCAGCAGCGATGAAGCCATAAAAGTAACTGAACCCAAGACCTGTCGGATACTGGTCGAAAGGCCCGGTTTTGAAAAGATTGTTGACTGGGGTGTTGTGCCACTTACCAAAGGCGGCCGTATCATAGCCGTATCCTGACAAGACCTTGGCCACCGTCGCCGCAGACTTGGGGATGTTTCCTGTGTACCCCGGGAAACCTGCTGCAGCCTCGGTGATCTGCCCTGCACCGATGTTGTGGGAGTTGCGGCCTGTCAGCACTGAAGCACGTGTGGGCGAGCAGATGGCCGTCGTGTGAAAGCGGTTGTACGACACACCTCGCGATGCTATCTTGGACAACGTTGGTGTGTGGATGGGGCCGCCGAAGGTATCGGGTGCCCCGAAGCCCACATCATCATTCATGATCACCACAATGTTCGGCGCATCCTTCTTCAAAGTCTGTCGCTTCGCCGGCCAACTGTTCTTGGAGTCGGCCAGGGTCGGGCCGACCACAGCCTCCGAACCAGATCCGCGTGCTTCTACTCTACAAGAGGGCTTGGGACACGGAGCCACAACTACCTAGCCTCATGCTTATCCCAGTGTGGCATAAACCAAACAACGGAGGCCACAACAAGCAGCGTAGTCAGTGGCCCGAGCACGAGTCCCAACAGAAATGTGGGTCAAGCCCGGGTCACACCCAAAACATGCGCAACACCGCGGCACAGTGTGCAAATGCACTGGACCGCACCTACACTAATCGGCGCACAAACGTGCCATTCTGTTCGTTTGCGTATGCACATGAATCTCTGGTACTTGTTCATATCTTGTCTTGAAGTCTACACTGATGAAGTTTTGCAGCTACTTGTTTGCTTGTTTGCACACATCAGGAACAGATAAAGATCGATCGATGGATAAATGAAAATCTGGCTCAGGTGCAGCGCCTCGGAAGGCATCGGTGGGAAAGGCAGGTCCGCCCCGGGAAATTGTGCCTGGGCGGCAGCAAAAAGCAGGAGCTCGAGGATCCTCTGCAACATCGCCTGACCCAGACTTTGAGCACAGGAAGTCACACCTTGTGTATGACTGAACCCCTGCCTTGAGAGGATTTGAGCCGAGAAGGGCTTGTGGAGAAACCTGCGCGGTCCCCAAACTAGACAAACTACGGGTCCTATGACCCCAAAAAGCCTGAAGCTCCAGTGCCAGAAGCCCGAAGCCCTCAACCCTAAACAACCCCCCAAAAAGCACCATGTCTGTTTGCACGCCTGCCTCGACGGGCGTCAATGCATCCGTTTCCGCGAAAGCGTCAAGCCTGCCTCATTGAGGTTCGCAGGGTGCAACTTCAACTTGATGAAGCAACAGGGCAGCAACTGATACACAGATAGTAATCAAAGCAAGCCTTTCACATTCATAGTGTCGGAGTTTGGTTGACTGAAGAGCCTTTGTTCACCGGTTGAGTGCTTTGTCTGCACCTACACCGGCGCTGTTACATCGACCTCCTTCTGACAGCTGTCAAGCCCCCACAGAAGAAACCTCTACAGCCTTCGTTTCATCTTTTCGTAGGTTGATACAGAGTCAAGGTCTGCCACGCTAAGGCTTGAAAAGCGTAGGCTGGGGTGTTGGCTCCTTCACTACATGTCAGTCGCGATCAAAATCCCCAAATCCCAGCTAGCGCATAGCAATGCCAAAGCTCGTGCACTCATTGCACACTGTCCCTCACCCCGTCTCGAGCTGAAGAACCGCATCGGCCTAAGCCCTCAGCAAACCAAAGCCAGCGCACGCTTCCTCCCCAAGACGTCCCTCGTATGCTGTAGCAACGTAACGAACCGAAGGAGATGTCATATGGACTGGATCCGTATGTAAGCCCTGACCCAAAACCCACCCTGCTCATTAAACCCTGCACCACCCGAGCCTTTCGCGGACAGCATCTGCCAGCAGCCTGACTTTAGCGACTTGAACCGCTTCCAGCGTATCCGTCGGCCACCTCGGATCAATGATAGTCACCGGAAGTTTTTTGGTAACACTAACGACAAAAAGCAAGAAGAAATGTAAAATAAGAACAGATCATACAAACGATAAGGTCAAGAAGACGAAGGATGGTAACGTCGTGGTGGAGGGGGGACGGCTTGTGCATCCAACACCGCCCAAGCATCCGGAGCCCCGGCCGAACCTGAAGACCGCGCCTCAAAGTCTTCCATGTTACGTGACTAGTCCTTTCCTTCTTTGGCTTGTGCACAGGGCTCTAGGTTTTTATTGTCCAGTTTGGTTATGCATAGGGGACACTACAAGGGCCAAGGTACTCAGAACTGGAAGCTCGGAACAGCATCTGCTGCAACGAGTCGACTTTTTCAAATCTCGAGCTGCCTGCCTCCCTCAAGAGATTTGACCCCTTCGACATTGAATACCTTGACCCGATGTCAGCCAATTGAACAAAACCCGAACACACCCATCGAAATCCTTGCAGCTCGGATGGGGCGACAGCCTTTTTAACACCCTCGCACCATGCTGTTTCGCGGGCGAGCACCTTCCTTCGGTCTAAGCCGTCGAAAGGAAGCTGAGTCGGTTTCTTTTTAAACCAGGCTCGGATCGTGCATCTGAGTCGGTGAGTGCGCTACCAATACCTTCGAGCAGAATCCCACAGGTCTGCTGTCCACGGTCTGTACAGCATGCATCACGTTTGGTTCATCACATTCTTCTCCGGAACCTGAGGCTTAAGACCTGGCGTAGCGACACAGCTCACATCTCGATCTCGAAGGCTGCAACCATGCCGAGGATTCCCAAGCCGAACAAGGACATGGTGCCAAGCATGAAGACAGCACTCCTTGGGAGCCCCAGGCCCAGGATGTAGATAATCGAGTGCGCTATGCGTGCCGTAGCGAAGATGCCCGAGAGGACTATGTGTGCAGTGCACAGCCCTGACGAGTCTTTCATAGAGCTTCGGACACCGAGGATGCACAGCGCCGCACCCCAAATAAAGACTAATCCGAAGGGGATATTCTCGATGTCATTCTGGACAATCCTGCCTGCAGCTGTCGCCCTGTCAACATCTTCTGGCGTTGCATTAGGGTTGTTGTTGGGATCCTCTCTTGCTCGCATGTTGGCTTTCCCTTTCAGTAGCGCCCAGCGGAGGTTCGTGATGAAGTATTTCAAGAAGAGCACGACGCTCACGACACTGCTGGTTTGAAAGACCTCTCCAACGGTCGCCATTTTCGCAGAACGACTGGGAGGCTTTGCTTAACCTGGCCTTCACAAGCACTACAAGTCAACCAGCTGCTGCGTCTGATTCAAGAGGCTACTGCTTACAGCCTCAATTCTTCAGGGCGCCCTGTGCACCTTAATCAATCCCATCATAACCCATCCGGGAGGCTGTCCGACTTGTACGATGGTCGCCCTTCAATTGCCAGCGCCTCTCAATCGCAGCAGGGGTCTGCCCAATGCTACTATCGCGGCTTGCTGTAGTTGCACTTTTGAAAACTCGGGGTCATTTTCCCGTCGAGGTAATCCATGCCAGATTGGTCTTCGAGCAATTTATTGAACCGGTGTACTTGCATGTGCGCACACATGAATGCAGAGATGCACCCACACTCCTAGGCAGGTGTAGCAAAAATCGAGTGAGTAGCAGTATAACACATGCGCTGGACAGCAAACCACAGGATGCATGCATGCGGGTACTTCCAGACACCTCCGACCCGCGAGTGTGTGCATGCGCATATGTACTTCTGTTTGTGGTATCTGTAGACCATATATAGAACTAAACACATAAATATACATACACACATATGCATATGTGTATGTATGTACGTATGTATGTATCTGTAAATTATCATATGTACGTATGCATGCGTGTATATCGAATAGCAGTGTGTACATATACAAACACATATATATATATATATACATATGCACACACACACACACATACGTACACAATACATATGCGAAAACAGCCGCAAACAGGTATACATACAATGGTCATGAATTTGCCTGCTGCCTGTGTATATATATATATATATACACACAACACGCACATATCCACAATACCTGAAGCTCATGCAATCCATCCATCCATCCCTCCGTCCATCCATCCATCCACAGACAGACAGACAGACAGACAGACAGACAGAGAGACAGACAGGCGACAGCCAGGCAGCCAGGCAGACATACATACAAACATACACACAGACGTACAGTTACAAAGAGACATACAGCTACATACAGTTACAAGCTAACAGCTACTGTACATAAGTTACACACAGTGACGTGGAGATGCATAAAGTTACATACACTTACATCTACACACAACTACACACAGCCACATACAGTTACATACAGTTACATACAGCTGCATACGGCTACACTTAAGCATACAGTTACATACATACAGTTACAGAATACATACAATCATGCATGCATACATACAGTTACCTCAGGTGATAACTTTCTCAGCTAGGGAAGCACAACTTACGGCACGTTAGAGTGCAGTAGATTGTCGCTGATGCTTACCTGTAGACGGTGGAAGCAGCTCACCAGCGGCTACAACAGCGCTACAACTACCATTCTGCTAACAGCAACCATCAATCCAATCGCCAAATCCGCGGCCTCGCGCACGAAAGTGCCGCAAAGGTTGCCGTCGGACAAATCGAAAAGCTCGATCCTTTCTCGGCTCAACTAAGGTGGACAGGCTCTCTGATTCCTACATTAGAGATGTCAGAGTTCGGGTTGTGGACTGTTGGACGTGATGCTATCGACGGAGGCTTCTGATAATATCGATAATACAGGGGCCTGAATGCTTCTCATGTGTGACCCGCCTAGTCGTGCCAAGCACCTTTGAACCCTGCTCGGTTTGCTGGTGTCTCACACTCATCCTGTCGGTTCAGTATTGGTTTGGTGGTTCGGGGGTAAAGGACTGTCCTTCTCTTCGGATGTTGGGTTCGAGTTGCCGCTTGAAACTGGGACCCTGTAGTCGGCCCCCCTCTGCAAGGTAGGCCACTCACGTCAAAGTCGGCATCGAAGCCGGATAAAGAACCCGACCTTGCGAAACCCCGACACTCTGCGACCTTGATGCGTAAAAGTTTAGCTAAATAGAAACCAAATCTGTTTTAGCCGTGGAATACTACACTTTGATAAAGCACAGCACGCGCACAGCAACGAACAGCCTGAATCCGTACAAAGGCTTGACGAGGCTCCGCCAGGGCGCGGAGAAAGCTGAAAGCCTGTCAGCCTCGGGTTTCAAGTTGGAAGGCTCCAAAGGCTGCCAAAGTGGTCACTGTGGTTCGCCAGGCGCAGCTGTTTTGCGACGAACGTCCGAAACGATGCTGGTTCGACTATTTGTCCAGTCGTGTCGAAAGATGCCGGTTGCCGCAGAACCCACTCCCAACATCTTGCGAGAGTGTCATCGACCCCCAAGCTCTTGGGGCGGCTTAGGGTTCAGGATGCCAGTGGTCCCAGGAAGCTTCTCAACGGCAGATTTGCGTGCGCTTGCAGGGCCCAAACTCGACCAAGTGAAGTTCGGGATTAAGGGCCAGACGAGTTGGTATCGCAGAGCTGAGCCCCTAGTCACCTAGTCAACCTCAACCGGAAAAGCATCAACACTACTCCCCCCCCCCCCCCGCGAAAGGAGACCGCACTGCCCTGACACGTCTCATCACCAAGGCCTGGCCTTCCACCGTGCTGCCGACCCTGTGGAGGCTGCGGGTGCCGCAGGCGCCACAGGCGCCGCATCCCCACACACCTCCATGTCACCTGCGTTGCACTCAAACCTACACATGATTTGAGGCCCCAAGCCAAACCTCAATCATCCCTTCTTGCAAGAATACTCCTGCGAACCGTTTTGAAACGGCTCCCGGAACAGGTGTCGAGACAAGGAGCATGGCACGCACGGAGGGCCCTTCGCTTCGTCGGCCAAAGCCTGCTTCTCTTTGATCTCCCTTGCGGCCTGTGAAGCATGTATGCTCTCAAGCAGTACTGCCGAAGATCTTGCAGAAAACGCTCAGCACAGCCATCCACTTAACTTCGCTTGCTGGCTACCACTGCTTCGGGCCAGATCAGAACGACGGGGCACGAACGTTCGTTAAGTTGAGCCCCAGACTTACGCGACTATCCGCACATCGACTCCATTATTATTCCGAAAGTGCCCATCATGCGTAGCAACCGCTAATACCCGCAGAGGATACGACACTATCCTATTTCGGTTTTTGTTAACGTCCCTTTTCCGGTTTCGCGAGAATCCGAGAAGCGGTAGCTCCGCTGGGCGGATAGTTTTACGATCCCAAGGAACATGGACGGCTGGATGACGACTCTGGCCTCCGCAACCCTGACCGGGCGGTGAAGATTCAAACCCGACAACCAAAAATAAAAACCGCAGTCCAGTAATGATCCCAAACAACCGTCCTCTTAGCCCTCGGCCTGGAACGGAACCTCGAATTTAAACAGACAACCCTGTGGGCCACCTGGGACTTTGCATGCTTCTCTAGGATGTGGGCTTGCAGCTTGGCCTCATCAACTCGCCTCGCTGGCACGATTCGGGCTTCTTCAAAGTTATGGTCCTTTTTCGGGGCCCTCTTGTACGGCGAACATACTTCTACTATACTCTACTATATGCTATCTGTAAATAGAATCAGCTATCATGATACGGAGTATATATCACCCGCATGCTTTGGGGTTGTTGATTCGGGCCTCGGCCTTAATCATATGATTTGTTTCTAGGGCTCGGCACTGCGCGGTGCAACCCGCTAGGCAGGAGGCCTCGGCCCACCCCTTGCTCTCACGACTGGGCATCGCGGGCGAGGTCTCGGGTTACTGGTCCGACTTTGGTACACTTCTCGACTTGTGCATGTCGTCTTTGAGTAGGCGCAAAGCTCATCTTCTCATTCTCTGTATCGCTCCAGCTCTGTCGGATGATGCCGGAAGAGCAACTGATCAAATTACTTCTAGTCACAGTGAGGTTCGCGCTGGCCGTCTTCTCGAAATCAGACAAACCCGCTGGTGGTCTAGATGCACTTAGACTAGACCCACCAGAAGGTCAGAGATGGGAACAGCGGAGCCTTCGGATTTTTAGGTATAACATGTCGGGTTGTAGCATTTCAACCCTGCGTAGTGTTTCATTTTCCCCTTGGGCAGGCTGAAGGCCCTCGATTTGATTTCCGTCTCCCCTTGCTCATTGTCTACGCCAAGTCTTCGACCACCTCAACCCTGGACCTGCCTGCAGCGTTGACGCTTTGTTGACGGAGCCCACAAAGCTCCAATTTCTTCAGCAAAAGCTCATACCACTATCGTACCAAGTCGCATCTTGCATCCTCGTACAGGGCAGTTGACGAAGCTATCGGCTTCATCATATTTCCGCTTCTTTGGCGCCATTGCTGACCGCGGTTGTTGCTTCGGGGCTCGAGATTCGGGTTTCTTTCACGGGCATGAAGTATCTTCAGCAGCGTTTTCCCGGGTGTTACAGATTCAGGGTTGTTGAGATGGTTTTACCACGACGCTGGCTTATGTTCGAAACAGCTTTTGCTGTGTGGGATTTCGGACTCCAGGCTTTTGGCGTTTCAGCGGTTGGATTTTGCGGCCAGGAGGTTTCAACTGGTTTTTGCTCGGGATTTTGATTTGCGTCAGGGTTTAGGGTTGTAGCGCTAGTTCAGATTGAAGATCCAAACATTAAGTACTTAAGAAGGTTCAGGTTTTCGGTTGTAGAGCTTCGGAACTCTGGTCCTAGTGGGGTCATACCGGCGAAGCCGGGCCGAAACTTGAACTTGACGGCGGTGTTGCAATCTTGGAAGAAGCGACGGCATGCCGGTATTCAACAAAAGCAAGGTCAGCCATACAAAAGCAGGGCAAGCGTTGCTACTACAGCAAAAACTGCACTCATAAGACTAGCCCGTAGATGAAAGGAGCTCTAGCTGCAACTGGATGCCTCAACGCAGCTTTCCTAGGGCAGCCGTACCCAACACATCTCTCGATGCAGGAGCTGCTGTCAATATGTCCTATGTTGATCTCAATACAATGCCACAGATTCAGGGGCACGCGAAGCTGTGTCTATAGTCGGTGCTAGATGTCAGTTTCACGTCTTACCTGAGTTGAATAGTGTGCACGACGATATTGCAGACCCATGAATAGCGCTTGAAGCCTAGGCTGAGCGGCTTCTTCTGCTACTAGCAATCCCTTCTGAGAAGATGCATTCCAGATCAACCACCCTCTCCTGCACTCTCCTGCATCTGTAACAACCTCACTTCGTACTTCGTCTCGTGGTCAGATTACCGTACAGAATGACATTGGGCCTGGATCCAGACTTGTCCAGACAGGTCCTGACTGCGCAGCATTGAGGAAATGTGCGACACCGGCGACAACAACCAACACCGACAATAACATCCCAATGACCACAGGAGCCGGAAAAAACGTTGGGTTGTCGACTAGTCATTGTCATGGCGACGGTGCCCACAACATCAGCAACAGCTGCTAAGCCAAGCAGCCACCACTGCCAAAACGACAATGATCACAATGACCGGGACGCTAACGACTGCAGGACCGAACTCAAAACAGTAGCATTGCTTCTGGTCATTTTTGTCACTCGTGCTCGACGAGGTTTCAGGACAACACATCAACTAAGTTTGGCTTTTGCATGTGCGCATTGGCTCATGCTTTTCGGCGACCCTATCAAAACGAAGACATGTCCACAAACAAACACGCAGCTCCCATCCACGATCACTTAGCCAATTGACAAGCCAGTTCTTGTTTTGAGTTCTTCCAGCATCAATACTGTAAGCCTGATATAGGCATTTCTGCTCATACTGTTGTTGTCATAACACCGCACACAGGCTTGTCCAGTCATGGTGGCAAACACTGCCGCGACTTAACATGCAACATCTGGCGGTACACAGCGTAAGCACAAAAACTGTATCAAACGCTTACACTGTCCTCCATCCTCATGTTTGGAATGTGTCACAAAGCGCCCTGCTGCATCAACATCATCGTCATGACAGGTACTATGACAACGGCAGGAAAAATAATGAAGAGGATGGACGTGGCACGACGACGACGACGACGACAGGAAGGACGACGAAGAAGATAATAATGATAACGATGGCAATTACGGTGCTGATGGTGATAACAATGATGATGATAAAGGGCGTGCGCAGCGTCAGCATCCCCAGCAAAATCAGCATCTGCATCGTACAATCCGTGCTCCTTATGAGAACCATCCGTAACCCGCAGCCTCACCAGTGTCATGGTCTTTGGCGAAATCGCGATTGATAGCAGGATAAAGCTTAGACAGTTGGCAGATCAGAAATATCCAATGACAAGAGCACTCATATGCAAACCGCTGCGGCCATGGCAAAAAAAAACAACAATACTTATCTCCCAGTCACGACATCGCTTGTTGCACTCAGCTTTCATCAGCATTATGATCATCATCATCACCACCACCACCACCACCTGCCATCATCACATCACCATCACCGGTGCAACAGCATCAGCATAAACGACAACTATCATCGCCGTCACCATCATCATCAACATCACCATCACAATCGCCCTTGCATCTGCTGTCAAAAAGTCTCCTCGCCCACTTCAGGATGATTTTTGTCACTTGCATGGCACGCCACTTCAGAATGATGGGCATCATGCATCGTGCTTTCGCGTCACCGGCACCACCAAAATCAGTGTCACACCCATCACCATATCTGACATATCTGACATTAGCGCGGGCCTCTCTGGGACATACTCTTGGTGTGGCCTCTTTGCGTCTGGGCATTTAGAATTTAGATGCAAAGCTGAACTCCTCGTGAAACCAGACCCAAACAACTTCAGGGACCATGGTTTGGGTTCCGGGGGTTTCGACTCCGGGGTTTCGGTCCCTCGGGGTGAAGCGAGCCTTGGCCTTTCGAGCACAAACACTGTCAGGAGTTCACCGACTTGCGAGATCTTCTGCTCCCCTATATGCTGCTGCAGGTTCTTCATAACAGAAGGTTAAGGCGGTTAAGGGCGCTCGCTTCTCGCTCCTCTTATGCCGATGACTGTTTTAGATTTTAGTCTGAATCTCCAGCCACAAAACCGGCTCAAGTATCAGCAAGAACACTCACAACACCGTTTACAAGAACCCTGCGAGATCCATCAAACTGATGCAGAAGCCTGTCAAACCCTCACACATCAATCTTTTCCGACTCTCTTCTGCGCCGGACGCTCGCGTTTTCAGCCACCACCAGGCTAGGAGGCGGTGGCGGAGCGCCGACACCTCTGCAGATCGACTGCTTGCGTCCACATAGAACCGATGGACTTGCCCCCTTTCTACGAAAGGGCTCTCCCATTCCTCACAATCGGCCGCGGGGGAGCTCAAAGCCACATAAACCAAGTACAGGAATACTCATGTGCTTGAACTGCATGAGGGCCATAAACATTTTTCCGTTCGGAATCCACGACTGCGGAACTGAGGAAGCAAGCTTTATGGTCAGGTTAATAAGGCGTAAAGAGCACTCTGCAAACTGAACAAGGCTCAGCACTGCCTCCCATGACACATCCCAGAGCTGAGTGCCTCCATGGACCATCACATCACCTGAACAAGGCACCGTGTAGAGCCCAAGGGAACAATATCCCTCCTACCTAGCCGAGACGATGCCCGCCCTGCAAAGTAACCCAAGGGAATAGACTTCCGGCTTTTATGTAAACCAGTCCGGATCCCTGCAAACACATGCATGCAAACATAAGTGCATATGCCCATATGGCTTATATGTACAAATACGTCGGCACGTGCTTGTCATACTTTGTTACACCGCACTACTACTTCTGGTTTGTGAAACTATCGTAAAACACTGTGCGCCATGCGCTATTTAGTGGGAGCCTTGTGACCCTACGTAGGAGTGCCGGACATCGCCACACAGTAGAAAAGCATTTAACGACTGAAAGAAGCGAATACTCATGCTTGCACACTGAAAACGTCCAGGACCCAAAGCGAACACCTGGCCGGTTCCCTGTCGCAGTACAGTAAGCCTACAACTCCCACCCAGGCCCAGATCCTAAACAGCTGGGTCTCCGAAGTCCGAAGGCATCTGAGTGTTTATTTATCCGTTGGCGCCTCCAGGAAAGTGGTTCCTGTGTTGCCCACCGCTGTCACCCAGCCGACCGTACCATCCGTCCGGCATTTGCCTCGACAGGCTCTGCGGGTGTGCTGGCATGCGATAGCCTACTACATTGCACAGTTCGCTTTTTCACATGTTCTGCAGCTGTCCGGGGGATATCCGGGGATCGTAGAGCCCTCTTGGTATAGGCAGGAAACGCGCATGTCACGGCGAGCTGTATGCCACGGTTCTGCTCGTCAGGTCTTGAAGTGCAAAGGATGACTAAAGTCATGCCAAGTTGCACTTGAGGCGCATGAGACCGGACCTGCAGCTGGATTCTCGGTCAGCTGCTGGCTGCTGCTCGCTGTTTACCATGCCGGGATCGGAACTCGTTAAACACCCTCCTGAGTTGAGAAACTGGCAGCCCTGAAGTGCAAGTGAAGCCATCGCCACCTGAAACGAATACTTGGTTCCCAGACTTGTCATCTTTCTTCGGCCAGATCCGCACGTCCACAAGGTCACCCGGGCGGAGCTTGCGTGGGGCCTCCTGCATCATCGGCTGCATCTGCAAGGTGTTGGTGGTGAGGGCGGTCATGACAAGCGCGTGGATGGTGACTTAGTGTTGTTACCGATATGCAGCAGCAACACATGGCCGTTGCTCCATGAAGATGGACACAAGACTTTGCCGCTACGAGGGCCTGGAGGTCAAGACACCTCAGTCTAAGACACCAAAACTTACGGCATAGATAAACTAGATAAACCCACCATCTTGAATCTGGGGCTCGCAAATCCCGAACCGAATTCCTAGAACCGCGGAATCTATACCTAAAGAGCCCTGAACCCTAAGAGTAAGCAGCCCAAACGCCAAAAACCTCGGACATCAAACCCTGCAACTAGCACACTGCCTTGCCCCCTGAAGTGTCGAGCTCAAACGCCTCGGTTAGGATGGTCTCCTGAGCAGACTTAGGTACTGAGCATGGTTTCGGGCGTTCAGCGCTCGGGGTTTGCTTGCGAACTACGTATTATTTTACGCAATCTATGCTATGGTCACACGTATTACTTGCGGCAGTATGCTACTACTGATGTGGGACATCAGCGGATTCGTGACCTCGTATGAAGTTTCCCGGTGGCCCCATGGTGCCTTGACTTGTGGTGACACAAAAGGCTTGTGGACATTTATGGTTCGGGCGTCATGGTTTGGGCATGAACGCTTCCAGGTTTAGGTCTTCCCACGAACTTCCTGGACTTCAGGCTGATGGGTCTCAGGGGTGTCATAGGAGATGGTGACTGTTGAACTGTCGATTATCCCGGTCCTCTACTTGTCAGAAATTTTCGTGGCGGAAGAAAATCTACTCGTCGATGGTACTCAAGCGGAGGTTCCCAGCTGTGCATTCACGCCGGCTCCTTGACAACTTTGTAGACGCCGCTGTAGTCTTGCAGAAAGGGTGTGCCATTGCTACCTGCGGCGGTGGCCAGCACGACACGAGCAAGTCGCAGATGTTTAGCTCGGCCAAGGGCACTCATCAGGCTTCCTCACACCCAACATCCCCAACATCGTACCAGGATGTCGTTCCGGGCTTTGACTTAGGCTATTGCCGGTGTTGCCCTACTCTCCTTGTAAGGTAAGCAAATAATTGCAGTGTGTGGTCGATCCCTGTCAAGATCAACAAGACATCGCCAAATCTGATAACAACAAGCAATCCCGGAGCCGCCGGCCTGAAGTAGTTACCCAGCCCTCCGCGCCATCTCTCAGCGCGTGACACCTCACCCGCCGCACACCGGCCTGGCGGTTTCGACACTCACGAGAGGACCGGGACTCTTCAGGCCAGGAACATGTCTGCTGAGTCTGGTGAAGTGAGAGGAAAGCCCGTGTAGCGTCAACAACACTTAGCAACAGAAACTCAAACACTATACAGACTATACCGACTAGACCCGCTTGAACGCTAGCACACAGCCGTTGATTCTAGTCCTCGGCAGTGCGTATTTGCTCCAAGGAATCCACCATGGGCTCCTACCCCAGTCAAGATGGGGTGAGGACAAGGACATGACACTAAGGGCTTAGAGCCCAATCGATGCCATGAGGGGCTTAGTAAAGCTAAGGTGAACATGCTATGCCACGTCCTTCGCTTAACACACAAAGCTACCGGTGATCTCCATGGTCTTGGGCAGGCAACAGTGTAATTTGCAGCAAACAGGCCGACAGCCGAAGGCACCGCATTGGAAATCTGCTATCGGAACTTGGAGTTTGGAAACGCCTGGAGAGGTGCCACTGGGATCACCTCAGAAATATCGGGCGCTACAGGTGAAGTTGTAAGGTCTTATGGTGCAAACTCCATGTTACAGATGGTTAGCCATTCGTCAAAAAAAGCGAAGGCTAGAGAGTCGTTTGCGGGTTGGCGCCCCGTTTCTCAACCCAAACGCCGAACAATTGTCCCAATACTGGGACAATGCAATGAACAAATTGTTCATCCGGGTTGTGCCCTCTCCGGAAGGGATCATACAAACCTTTTCCAGGGATCGCTCTGACCGCTGCATCCTGAAATATAGGCCAATAGACCCTAAAAGACACCCCAGGCCCCAAGCCGCCTCCTCGTCGGCCGCCTCGGCGCCCAAAAGCTCTAGCACCTCTCCGGCCTCAGAAGCGGAAATTCCACCAGAAACGGAGCGCCTGAAGCCCACACGGAAGCCCACACGTAGGTATTAGTCTCAGGCTTCCTCTAACTCTAGGCTTACAGTGTCTCACAGTTGCAATTCAGCGTTTTTGTTGCCTCCTGCATGGCTGAGTACGCAAAGGTCAGTCACAATGTGTTTACACGTTGGGTCGCACGAGAGCTTCACGCCAGGAACCCTGCTATCCGATGTTGGACGGGTTGCTGCGAGACGGCCACAACAGAAATTTGCCCCTTGGGACATGCCTTTAAAGAAACTGCACCATCCTGCAAATACACCTCAACTCGGGTGCGGACGAGGAGTCTCCGTATTGAGTCACCCTTGACGCTCTTGTCTCGAGTGAGAACGGTCTCCTGCGACCCATGAAGCACTTTATTCAATACATGTCTGCAGCATGCGAGTCAAATCCCAGCCGGTCCTGGCCGGACACCTGTCGGAGTACACTGTAAACTAAACCTGAAACTGCAATGATTGCACTCCCGCGCTCCTTGACGACCTTTTTAAAGCAGCGGATGAGCGCCGTCATTCGACCCTGGCATACAAGAACTGCATGCATGAAGCTACGATGTGCATTTTGAAGCTCGTGCGCTCTATCTATCATATCCCCACACCAATCCTACAATGTAGAAAGGACAACCCTCACACAACCCCTGTTACCTCAAACCCGCCAAAGCTGTACTGGCCTGCTCGATGGTCTCCTCCTCTGCGAGGACATCGAAGACCCGGGAAAGATCCTGCACATCTATCACGAAGACTTTTGAGATGCATGCAACGAAAACAACAGACGCCTCGGTTTCTAGAGCCCATGTTAACATTTGGTGGGTCGGTACTGATGATAATATGCGATGATAGTAGCAGCAAGGGTGCTGGTGGCTAGTGGAAGACTGGAGGGGCGCTGGTGACGGTTGGTTTGCCGGTGGCGGTGCCCTTGCCGAGGCCGACGCGGTGGTGGTCGATGCATCGTCGCTGTACTCGCAATCATAAAGTGCGACCACGATTAACAAGCAGGTGTAAACATACAGGCACAAACGTACATGTGTGTGTGTGTGTGTGTGTGTGCGTGCGCGCGTGTTAACTGGTTGCTGTTGATCTGATTCATGATCATGTCCAGTTCAGCTGTGTCAAGAGCCCTTGGGCTTGCTGGGAGACTTGAAAACTTAAAAGTCTGAACACCTCCACACACTCCGAAAGCCTTTCTCCACACTGTAAGCCAAAGCCCTTTCCTCGGGCCTTTCTACTCTTACTCTCTGGAATTTCCAGCGGCTTTAGATCCGATAGGAGCCTCAACAAGTCGCAATGCCGGGTTTACGTTTCGAGATTGCTAGGAGCTTTCGCCGCTCAAGATCCTAAGTCTGCCTAAGCAGTTGTCGCCTTAAGCCTTACCAAGAACTTTGACTCGCAGCCGTACCCGGAGCGAAGCAAGCTCCTGATAAACTATTGAGCAAAGATCAGATCACATGCAGCAGATAAGATTCAAGAACTTTGATGTAGCGGCATTTTGACCGTAGCAGCAATCAAGCCACTAACAACGATGCACCGACAAAAAAAGCTGGCCATCACCGTAATCCTTTAAGCATGTTCCAGGATGGGTTCAATGCGCGGACGACACTAGCAGCGCACAAGGTAGCGCCAGCACTGGATATAAGCATCCTCCTCTGACATGTCGGCGCCCTCCGGCTTTTCACCTGGCAAAGGACTACTTCCCTCTGAATTCGATCCTTCGCTTAGACACGTGTCCCCCCTCTAGAGAACATGCGCTGTGAGCATCTGCTACCAAGGCACACTTGGCGAAAAAGCTGATGAAGTCGGACCTGAGGTCCACGAAAATACGTCAACGACCCCTGCTTTCAGAATCTCGGGGCGAGCATACACCACACCTCAGAACCCCTACTGCCATCCGACGCTCTTAGTGGCTTAGTGCTCTTCGTCTTCGATGGGCAAAACTATGGTTCTGTTCGAATTTTGTTGCGGTGCTTCAGTTCTCACTCCAAAGCCCACGTCAAAGCCGCGTCTTCGGGGGCTCTGGGATGAAGTGTGCAAGTATTGGGCGGGTTGGCACGGCAGTACTGGTAGCTGCGGTAGCTACTGCCGCGGCTCGATACAGCTTGGTCTGATGAACTGAAAGGGTTGGGGATCTTGAACCTCAGAACTTAACCGATTGTTTCTGAGGCCTCATGATGTACTAGAGTGAACTCGAGATCTTCCATTGAAGAGCCTCTGAAGGAAACAAGCTGAGCCCTGGCCGTAAAAAATGCTCTAGGCGTGCCGAGCAGCTTTTCCAAAGTCTCCTTCTCACCCGCCATGTCTTTGGACACGTCATCACTGGACCTTCGCAGGATGGCAGCCACAGAGATGATCTCGCGGCTAGCACATGTGTCGCCTTCGGATGTTGAGGATGATCGGATCTGTAAGAGCTTCAAATTGATTGCTGGTGAAGCTTTGCTCCTGAAAGCCTTGAAACCCTGTCGCCTCACCTGCACCTCCGCAGCCCTACGGGTTATGCCCCCGTTTGCGAACTTACCATCGGTCCTTCTCACAAGCAGTACCACGAAGATTGCTTATGTCAAGGATCTCTTCAGCTTATCATTACGAGCCTCTGCCGTGTGGTGGCTATGATACTGCTAGCACCGGCGACGTCGAAGATGAGGGCTATGCTGGTGATTCTGATGTAATGACATATGCCCAAGATCTAGTGATCGTCGTCGTCGACGACCAGGTCGCATTAGCAGTAGCAGCAACACTAGTGACTCGTGGTTATGACTGGTTCCGGTCCTCCTCCTCCTCATTACACATGTTCAAGCAATCCTTGGCCCCTTGGGGTCCGACAGCTCTTTCACATGCTGATGATGCCGGAGCGCAGCCTGCGATGCCATCCCGGGGCCAAGGGCCAGGTCTTTGGAAGATGCTTGACACTCTCGGACAGTGCCCCAATCTTGCTTGCTTACTCCTGACCCGCTGGCAAGCCCTGAACTCATGCCGACCTCCAACTTGACGAATTGAAATCAGGATTTGCCGAACACCCTGGGGCTCCGGCCAGCGCTTGCTTCTCTAGCTGCTGCATCTCCTGTTCCACATGAATTAATTACCGGCAGCCGTTGAAGTGATGTTCGTCTCGCACTTTTAATTGCTTCCCTCGGCGCATCCGCCGGTTGAGGCATTGCAGAGGAAAAGGTGTAGCCCTTCCGTTTTAGTGGATGGTGTGGGGCTTGCCAGCGCTACTTGTACGAGTTCGTGAGGCTCTGGCTCAGCTTTTCAGGCTTTGGGACAAAACTTCGCAGACGTGTGTCTTCGTGGTTATTGTTGCGAAACTGTGAAGCCCTTGCGCCTGCGCTGCCTTGCCCTTGACATCGGCACGGCACCTTGCCAGCCTCCATAAGCTTCCGTGTTCCACGTTCACAGATTTTAACTTCAGGGCTTGGGCTTTCACGACTCGAGACTTCGTGGTGGGCATCGGGGACGATGTGAAGATGCAGTTCAATTCATCTGCCCTTCGTCTTAATCCCCACTTGGGCGCTCGGAGAGGTCAGAGAGTCATAGGCCTTCACATTACACATGTTAGACAGGACGTGCTACGTCTCAAGACTTGCGACTCGACACCAAACCTCTGAGGCATAAACATAGACATCAAACACGGCAACTTCTGATCTTCTTGGGAGGCACGCTCTCGGCACACCCTTCTCTCCAGACTCTGGACATTCGAGGACTGAGGAGAGGAATCCTCAGCCCCCTTCCAATAACAGAAAACTGCATCCCAAGCTCTGGAGCCACAACTTCAAGTGTCCAAGATTTTCCCAGTATCTGAGCTCTCCGGCGTGGCACTGAGCCTGCCAAGGCGGGCGTCCAAAGCAGCAGTCTTGGAGTCCTGCGTTGCTCAACGGTTCTTGGCAGCTGTAGGGCGTGATTTGCGATTCCCAATCATAAACCAGAACATGAACAGAGATGTTGATCAGATCCTGTACTACATCGCCTGCATTATTTGAGCAACCACTGCTTTGAGAAGCGAGCTGCCTCCCCCCCACCTGCGGGTTGTTTGCCAAGACCCAGATGAAGCTCTGAGTCAACTTTAACCGCGCCGTACACACACGGGCCCGAGTCTTACCAGCTACGGGGGCATTTTGGCGTTGGCCTTAAGAGACGTGGGCTTCAACAAGCCTCCCCAAACTGATGATGTCGAAAACAAGGACACCCCTCTGGAAGAACAGGGCTTCAATTTTCAGGGGTGGGGACGTTCATTCAAAACCAAACGTTTCTCATATCGCTGCATCAAGGATGCGTGAGCTCCAGCGTTGACTATTCTTCTGCAGTGCTGGTTAGTCTCACAACTAAACAGCCCGGCGGGAAGTCTGCATGCAAACCGCAGACCCCGCGATTTCCAGACTAGACCCAAGACCCTTGATCTGTTCTGTTAAACCATCACAGCAATTGAATCCACAAAGACATCGAGAAAGAGTTCTGATGGTGCCCGCGACTATGCGACCGTCGCCGCACGTGAGTTTGCTGAGGCAAATCCTATAGTGGCCCGCAACAAGACCACTGAATGACCAAAAATAAAGTAACAGCGCCTGGGACGTGACCGGCGTTTTATGGCGTAGCTGAAACAGGCAATGTGCTAAAACCTAGGGAAAACGTGTATTATGACAAAAAAGTTGTGCTAGGAAAGGCGGAGAATCCCTGTGACAGGTCGATCGTTTTAGCGAAAAAGGTGATGGCGCTGCAGTAAAAGCCACATTTGCGAGCACCGCGCTGCGCATACTTGGTCTGAGTGGACGTTAATATGGTTGACCCATGGATGCTCTGCGTCAATGAGATCTGGTCTGAGTGGACGTTCACACGGTTGACCCATGGATGCTCTGCGTCAAGAACATGGACCACCCATGGATGGTTTGGGTGACGTGGGTTCGTAATTGCCGGTGTGTTCGGCATATGACCCTAAGGAAACATGGCTTCGATCAGAACTAGGCTTGGGCCTGCCTGCGACAGAAGTCCGCAGTTCTGGGAGTTAAGGGTCGGGACTGGCCGGAATTAGCCCCCCCCCACCCCCCCACCACCCGCCACCCAAGAAAGAGGACGTACAGGACGCACACCAGGCATTGTCACCTAAAATAACCCTATGTTTGGACGTCTCCCTTGAGCTAGTTATTCTCCGAAGGCCAACAACACTTGAGGATTTGAATGGCTGAGGGCTTGTGGCTTCCGTCTTGCGAGTTCTTGGTTTCGACTCGGTACTCGCACCTGACTTCTTTGCTTGTGCATGTCAGCTTGCTCTGGGGCCCAAGCTATTCTTCTCAACTTTGCTTGAAACCTCATGTCCAATTTCAGTGCCACCAGCTAATCTCCGAAACATAAGCCCTGAGACCCCAGAAGAAACAGAACATGCTGGCGCACTCCGCAAGAACACACAACATCACAGCCTCTTCTACTGCTAATCATATCGGCAAGGCGTTTTGCACACAGAAGACACGAGAAATAGTAGTTAATAGCCATTTTGCCAGCATCAACATACTTGTAGCCCAGCTCGGCATGATGATGATCATATCATCATACGCATGACGAACATCAGCAGCATCGTCGCCCATGTGTGTGCAGTCGGCCTTGCCCATAGTCATGCGAACCCGGAACACGAAACAACCGTAGCTCCCACCCTCCCGCAGTCCAGCGGTCTGCACTCAATGAGGAACCAGCCTGCCAGCTCCTTGTCAACACCTCGACACCACGGCACTGCAGAGCTCGGACGCAGAGGGCTTCAGTCATGCTAATGCTAAAGCTAACCGCTAACCCTTTCCGAATTAAAACGGGAGAAAAAACCTCTTGTTGTTGAGGCATTCATATACAACGGCAAGCACCCGACAAACCGTTCACAAACTCGCATCTACGGCCTTTCTTCTCCTCGGTGATATCCTGCCGGCCAACATGTGCGGACAGCCATCAAGCACGACAATGCAAAGCCTACCCTCGACCCCGCCCAAAAAAAGATAACGCCCGTCACTACCCATCAGCGTTGACGGTATATCGTGTGGTGGCTGACCGTCCTGGGTTTTGAAGGCGAGCACTGCCTCTTTGGCTTCAGTGACCTCCAACACTTTCAGCACTCACAGCCGGTGGGCATGTGGGTATGTAGAAACCAGCCGTGCTAGGATGAGGGTTGGACATGCGTTCGACTTTGAGAACTAGAAGCAATCGAAGGAAGCAACTGCACTTATGTCCAGCAGACTCACAGCTTCCAAGACAACTTGACAGGCCTTTTCGACAAGCCACACACAGCTTCGTGCATGAGCCACTCCCTCGACAAACGAAAGGAGACTGCCACAACTGCAGTTTTCTACGTCTCTCGTGCCTAGTACTTCCGTTTTGACCACAGAAGAACCTCCATTCCGACCATTCCTTTCGCATGGGACATTCAGTCCCCGCACTAGCACACCTAAGCCCAGGTCTCAAAACCGAAACCTCGAGTCTAAGGGCGCATGAGGACCTGCTCCTCCAGCTTGTCGAGCAGGGGCACAAGCTCCGTCGAGGACATGGCCCTGAGTTTCCGCATGCCCTGTTCGTACAACGACACTTTGTATCCGCAGCAAAACAGCTGACTGATTGTTTGCTAATTGCTCCGCCTGTTTCGCAGCTGGTCTGCGACTGAAAGCCTAAATGTCACACCGACTCCTCCAGCAAAAGCCCAACTCCAGAGCTCTTTCAAGTCTTTGCAAGTCTGTGAACCGCCAGGCTAAAACCCCTCGCGTCAAAAGCTTGAAACTGAACTTTGAAGCCAGCAGCTTGGCGTTGGTCAGAGGTGCAGCTAGCTCTTCGACCGCTTTGACCTGCATTTGGGTCGTTCCGAGTGCTTCCGGGGGTTTAGGTTCAGGTTGTGGCTTCACCCACGACTGACTAGCCTTGGTAAGTGATTTTCTGCATTCTCTCGAGCTACGAATTGTGGCAAGGTTCTGTGTTTCCATCCTCGTCAAATGGGGGATCCAGTTTTAGTGTAGCAGGCCGATGCAGAAACCATCTGTAGAAGATGTCGTTCTGCCTGTTGTCACCGCTTTTGGGCTAATTGAATCGTTTCTTTGCTGTAGGCCGGAACCCCAGTAGACCCTCCTGTGTCGAAAGAACTGGTACTTACTGTATTTCGCACTAGGCTGCTCCAAGAATGAATCCGCCCAGCCCTTTCAATGGCCTTCTCGTCGTGCTCAGCATACTTGCCGTCCAACTCGGCGATCTGCCAGGCGAAAACAAGCACGGCAGGGGCTGGAGTGTTTCTGTCTGTGTGGTCTTCTGGACCAAGTCGCCATTGAAACGACAGCCCCGCGGTCATGATCTCAACCCCGGGCCAGGCTTATTTACACCAACGCAATTCGAGACTCCACACTTCACACATGCATGCTTCTTGCAACAGCATGCATCGAAGGGCTTGCTGTTACGAGTACCCCTGCTCTTCGGGTCATTGGAACTTCTGCTAGCTACCGCCGGGATTTGCTTTGACTAGTTAGTCTGGAGCTGTACTGGCTGTTCCAGAACCTGTATCTTGCCAACTGGTGGTTGGTGTTGCAGTTGGAGTTGCCGCGGCGGTCTTCGTGGTAGATATGGTGCTGATGCTTGTGGCGATTGTCGCCAATACATGGTCAGAAGGGAGGTCACCATAGCCCCAAGAGGCCCGAACCCTTGGCCAGGCATTTGGGCAGGACACCAACCCCGCCAAGGGCAAGCCTCGATGCCTTCCTGCAAATCTGCGAAAGCGAGCTCATCCCTGCCTTCTCCTTGAGGCCGTCCTTCACACCCTCCAGCTCCTGTGGTTTTGGACGCCAAGCTGCTTCTATTTTTGGAGCTTAGGACAAATCACCGGTGCCTTCAGGATGAGGGCCTTTGGCCATCCTACTGACAAGGCTTAGGTCTTAGGTGGTGGTACACGGTCCACGAGTAGCTTCGGTGCTGGTAGCGGCGCTTCGTTTTCTAACGCTTCATTCCCCGTGGCCCCGCAAGGATATGACCGTCTCGCTGTTTGCAAGTAAGATCTTGAGGAGATTGGTTCTGGCTCTCTGTTGCATCTTCCGCAAAACCTTTTGCCGGTGAGCGTTGCATTTCTCTTGTGCCTCTGCGGCCCTTGTAGCTAGGCCCCGGGCTGCTTAGGGCTTCATCATTTCTTTCGGATTGTGGGGCAGCAGGGCCTGTGGAGTCGTTTTGGGGGGATGCTCTTCTCCACAAAGTCGTTGCAAAGGTACTTCCACACAAACGCCCTCCAGCGATCGGTTGCACTGTCAAGTTGTTAGCGGGTACATCTCTTGCTAGTGTAGCAATAGTCATTCTGATATGTAGTCGCCGTCGGACTAGTTGTCGTAGGGGTATCAGCCGCATTCGGAGTGGTAGCTATTGTGCGAGTAGGAGGAGTGAAGAGCTGGAGAAGGAAGAGCGCTCGCTGTGGGAGAAGCCGTTGCAGCACTGCTGCAGCCGGACAGTTGTTCTTGGTGGTGATCGTAGCAGTTTGCCTAAGCCTCAGTACTTGCTTGTGCGATTGGTGCAATACCGAAGAACCCAGCCCGAGAGCCCTGAAGCTTGGTGCCCTTCAGCCTTCAACCTGAACCCTGTAGACCTGAACTGTGGAAGCTACACTTGAAGCCTAAAGGTGTTCCTGGCTTCCGAGATCTTACACTCCCAACCCCAAACTGCATGCAATGCACGATATCCGAACCCGATAAACTTCACCGCCTAACCAACACCTCAACCTGAGATTTCCTGGCTGGCAAGCCCCTCCTTCTCGTGCTCCTCCCTCTCTTTGCGGCGCACCACATCCTTTAGGTTCCGGGAGATGGAAAGTTAGTTGGGCCAACAGGCTTCAGGAGGTGGGATTTCGGAAGTGTGGGACCCAGCATTTCAGGTTTTGCATTCAGGGTCTGGAATCTTAGCACCTGAAGAGAAAACCCTGCTGAAGCAAGGGTTTAGGTTTCGGCGCTCACGCTCGGACAAGGATTTAGGTTTGGGGTTCTTGCGCGCTCTAGGTCTTGGGCCTGAGCTTTAACCGGATAGCAGTTCTGTTTGAAGGCCAGTGCTTCGAGGGTGTTGGCTTCGGGCTTGGCAGTTTCGGCACTCTCGGCAACCCCAAGCGAATTTCGAACACCTCGCGACTGACGGCGTACACGGCTTAGGTCGCGAGGCTGCCTCACTGCTACCTTTTCTCGACCTGCATCGATGCCTGCCAGCTAATCCTCGGTCAAGAAACCCTGAGCCTGGTTTGCATCACCTTCGTCGCATCAGGACTTGGGAAGTCTGCCGGGAAAGTACGGCAGACGCCAAGCCGAAATATCTAAACATCTTTTTGCTGCAGGCTTGCATGCAAGGTCGCCTGGTAGTTAGCCACTCTTCCGCCAGTTAGGACTGTGCTCGTGACAGCGCCCCCCGCTTTCGAGCATGCGACAAAAACCCTAACAAATGTCGAGCCCTGTTTCCCTGCCGGCGCAGGCCTTCGCCATCTCGCGCGAGATGCCAATCCTCGGATAGCAGCAGAAGAAGCAGACATGCTCAGACAACAGGAACACCTGAACAAAGCGAAGGACAGAATGCAACAAAATGGTCTTGTTAGTCATTGCAGGAAACCCTCAGAGCTTACCCTCCAGGTCCCTGGCTGCACCTTTAGTCGATGGAAATCCGCCTTCTTCACACCCACCCCACCTGCTGTTCGGTCTGCTGATGCAGGGCATGGAAGCTTCTACGGTTTGTGGCCTTCAGGGCTGTTCAAGCCTAAGGGGTCAGCCCCAGGCCTCTGAAGCGGGTTGGAGGCCTTCCTTCGAAGCTCACCCTTTGCAAAACTGCACATAGTTCACTGAACGCGACATGCGTTTACCACCACCATCACCATGTCCACGCCCAAGCACGAATTTGCTGAACCGCAAATCCTAGATCATTGATCATCCAAAACCAGAATCCGCGCCGGGATGTGTCGCTACGTATTCTGCCCTGAGCTCGCAAAATTAGGCAGAATCCATTTTGTCTGGAAATGGCCAGTCCTGCTTTCAGGACTATTAATGATACTGAGACTGTCAACCTGGTTTGGTTTTGACTCATGACTCATGACGGCTATGATCATTTGCGGTGGCAGGTCTTATCCGGCCTTTGCCGCCCTCGGTGCCGATTCCCTTCAGGATCTGCGTGGCCCGGGCGTCCTCGGCTTGAGGCCCCCAAAAGCACACGGATCTTCAGATCAGCCTTTCTCTCCCCCTCTCTCTGTGGCACGCTTTGCGTCGTTTCAAAATCGAATCGTCGTTGGGGGTGCTAGGCGCGAGAACAACTTCAGAGCAATGTAATCGACGCATCGAAACTTCTCAATTCCAGGCCCCTGGCGGACTTCACCGAAACCCAGCTTGAGCTCATGCCGAGCGTGCTCTGACCAAACCCGGCCACCTTGTATCCTCAAAATATAGCAGAGCGGCCGTGATGGTGATAGAGGCATCCTGCACCATGAAAGGGAGGTGGTTGAGTTCTTCGACACTCCGCTCCGGGTTCACACGATCACTGCAGTACTGCAGGACTCAACCGGACCGCTGCGCGGCTCGAGCACACACCGATGTCGAGTTGCATGACAACTTTCTGTGGGAAGGCGTGGCTCATGTGAATGAACAAGTGCCCGACTAAACATGGCAAGATGGCTCTTCATTCGTTGCTCCCCTGGCCCTGCCTTCTTTGCATACCCGATGAGCTCCTTCTTGCTGAGGAACCCATCCTCGACAACTAGCGTCAACTGGATGGTGACCCCTCTGTGGTACAGAAGCCCCGGACTCCAAATACATCTTTAATTAGCAAGATTGGCCTTAAGTCTGGCCTCTTCGTTCGAGGCGAGCTACAAGTGTAGCAAAAACTGCGTTCTCACAGGTGAAATTAAAACGCTACTCTAAGTCCCTAGATCCGAAATCGCCAAAGCTGGGGATGTGGAAACGGCCACGGGCAAAACGTTCAGCTTACGGATGGGGCCAACATCTGCTCCAGCTAACCTTTTCGGCGGACCGCATGGCGTCCCATCGGATACGCACTCACGAACTGAAAATCGCAAGAATGGGATCCCCGCACCTGTTCTCGAATCTCGAACCCCGACATGTTCAACAAGACCCAGAACCGATGTTGAACTTGTAGGTCCATTGTTGACACCGTAGAGACCGCACCAAATATGTAGATTCTGATAACTCATAGCAGAATGCCGGGCTGAGGGGCTGAACCTTCGGTTCCCACAAGCCTCGATAGAGAACTTGGACAACACTCCCTTCCAAGTCAGAACCGACGCATGGGCGAAGCAAAAACGCCAGGGTCCTTGTCGAGGTCAAACCTGAGGCGCAGCTGCCGATGCTGCTAGTTGCGCGGTCCCAGCATTCTGTCCGATTTTGTAGGGATACGACATGTCAAGCCCCTTCGCAAACCCCTTCAAAACATGAGCCTCAAGCCTCAAGCTCCCAAAGCCCTAAACCTTGCAAAGCTGTCGAACACACACTATGACTTTAATCGAGCCCCTGTCCGCCGCAACCTCCTCTACAAAAACTGCCTGCAGTGTCCTACTCCTAACGGGAACGACCCTCTCAAAGCACATCAGACTCTCATCAAGCGGCTTCGTGAACTTGGCAAGCTCCGCATCATGCAGCCTTGAGGCGGCAGTCTCAGAGCTTTTCGGGTCTCATGGTTCACGCCAAATGCCACCCTCTCACCATCGCTTTCACTCTCGCTCTTGCTAGCCCGCTTTTCTGCAGACTTTTGGGGAGGTTGGCCCTTTCGCCAGGCCTAGGGACAGGGCAGCCCGTGCGCATGAGTCTCTCTCTCTCTCTCTCTCTCGCTCTGTTCGTCTCTGAGCCGACTCTAGAATCCTAAGCCGTAAACCCTGAAGCCCTCCACTGAAACCTTAAATTTTGCATGGGAATCTCGGGCTCAGGGCTTCGAGTCCTCTCACATGGTTGTTCCAGGACTTGTGCCAGCATTTGGTACTCCAGATGGAGCCACAGTTTCGGCCACAGTTTCGTACTTGGGATTCAGAGTAGACGTTTAGCAATAGGGCCCTCCAGGAAAATTCCGCAGCGAGGGCGGTGAGCACATTGCAAAGGACAAGCCTAAACATCATCCTGCAGTACTACATTCCTACATCTCATCCATCGCCCAGCAGCTTCCGCGCAGCAGCTTTTCGCGTTAGCTTCTCCTGCACGTAGGGGCAGCTGAGGACTTGGCTCTTCTGTTGCCAGGCAATGTCAAACCATGCATTCCAACAGCGGCGTCGAGGACTACCAAACAGCTGCAAAAGCCGGCCAGCCGTCATCCCGGAGTCGGGAGAGCTCTCGCTTTCCGCGGGTACATCCCCAAATTCTGAGAGACCCGAACCCTCGGCCGTCCTGCACCACCGAAGCTGTCTTCTGAGTCAGGTCCTGCAGAAGCCCTGAACCAAAACCGGCGCCCAGGGCCCTTTACCTTATCCGGGATTTCCCCAAACTAGGTTTCCTGAGCCTAGCATGGACGGAATGTATGCCCGTCAAGAAGACGTCAAGAGGGCATGACGATCCTTTGCTCGACGGCCGTGCATGCTTCGCACCTGGATACTAATGACTAGCTTAATCGCAACAGCTCTCGCCGACCGGACCTTGGGAGGGTTCTTGAAATGAGCACAGCATGGGCTGGATGTTTGAAAGTCTGAAGGGCGACTCTATTTGATAACTATCAATCAGCGCCTTCCCCAAGGAAGAGCTCTGTCAAATCAGCCACCAGGTCAGTATGACCAGTGGGGTTGGGTCTGGGGTTTTGGCTGCTTCCAAAGATTCGAGGCTGACATACCGGCTGGAAGGGTCGAAAACAACATTGAGGCCCAGGTGGATCTGCCGTGAAAGCAAACCCATACATTCAAGATCCTCATCTTGCGAATGCCCTAATGCCGAAACTGCAATGGTGGAGATCCTTCTTGTTGGTAATCTCGCTCAGTCGTGTCACGACTGCCTGGAGGCTCCTCAGCGTCAGGATTTTGATACTCACACTCTCTTGCAGGCCCTTTCGGATGTTTTGGTTTCAGCCTCAAAGCTGGAATGGTTGAGTTGGAAATCTCCGCCGGCCTTGTCTCACGATCAGTGGACTTAGTAAGCAAGCTTTGAGTGCGGTTCTGGACCGGGTCAGCCAAGGGCACTTGTCACATCTCCTCAGTCTGCGGACTCAGAGTTGGACCATTAACGAAAACAGTCAAAGCCTCAAACCCAAAAGAACATGCCTCTAGACTCTAGACTCTCAATCCTCGGCGAAGCTCATTGTTCAGGCAACGAACACCACCGCTCCAAGCACATATTGAAGCACTATCACCCAAACGTGTGTTATACGTTACGGCCTGCGTGAGGGGGGCTTCAGAAAAGCCCGAGATCCCGAATCGTAGTCAAAACAACAAGTTAAACGTCAAATCCCCAGCAAGTATGAGTGAGAAAAGAGATGGAAAGAAAACCATACAACTAGGAATAAGAACACGAACACTCATACGATGCTAAGATAGCCATTAACAACAATAGTAACAACACTGATAACCAGAATCACAGCTAGCAACATTACGATTCATTCTCTTTCGAAAGTTGACTCCAGGCGGCTCTGGCTCATCGCTCTGGGCCTCCTCAGGCGAAACCCTGGCAGCCGGCTTCGATTCTTCAGCCATAGCCATTTGGAGTTCAGGTCTAGGGCCGGGTTGAGGGTCATATACCCCCAGGTATGGGTCATTTTTTGAAAAGAGCCACAACATCAGTGTTATAGCGGATGGTGCACCAGTTGGAAGCAATACAGCACGGTGCCGTTGGGATAGCGCTACAACACCTTTCGTCCGGGATGTGTATCTGTCCGTCCACTACAATACACCCCCAGACCCAAGTATCGGGGCACCTACATTGAGGCACCAAGCAGGGCTGGGGCCGCCGTTTCACCGCCGAGAGCCGCATTGCGGCAGAGTGCTCTTTGACAAAGTCTTGACCTCTACAGCTTGAGGCTTAGACCAGCCTAGCGGTTTAGAGGCTTGCAGGAGTTCAAAGTAGAGAACTGCAGGGAGCAGGGTCTAGGGCCTGAAGCAACTTTCGGGTTTCAGCACAACTGGTTGGGACCTTGCCCTTTCCTGGCTACTGCTTTCGTCTTTCAATTGTAACCTCAACCAGGTCAGGGCCTCGGGCCCAAAACCTAAATCCACGACATCCTCAAACCTGAACCCCACTAAACCACATTTAACATCCAAGGCGACATCAAGTAGATCCACCTTTTTGAGCAGGGACTGCGATGCACTGCATCCTTTGCTTTGCTTTGCTTCGGGGGCTTGGAATGTCTGCCATGCCGGGAACGCAAAATCCATCAGACGCAAGAACACTGTTTTGAACGAGGTCTCTCTGAAGAGCCTCCCAGTTGCGCGCCTCATCGATTTCACGTGCATCACAAGGCATGCAATGCCAGGTCACGTTACAGCCCGCAACGACCCTGAACCCTGAACTGTTACACCCCATACCTTCGGAACCCAACAATCCTGAACCCATTTGCTGCAGGCTTGCACGCAAGGAAAGCCCAAACCCTCAGATTTTGAGGCCCCGGACATTCTTTGATTGCCTCCTCGGCCTTCTCCACCTTGCCCTGCACCGAGGCGGCCTTGGCATTTGGCCTCCGAAGGCCTGTCTCGGAACCCCAAGGCTCGAGTACTCTGTATACCTTCAAAACACGCACATACACATGTGTATATGTATGTATGTATGTATGTATGTATGTATGTATGTATACACACATACATTCACTCACCCACACATACGTACATACGTACATACGTACATACATTCATTCAACATTCATTCATCATTCATTTATTCATTCTAACATACTGTGCACACATACATGCGTACACACACATACATATATACACGCGTACATACACAAAATTACATGAAAAAAGATGTGCATGCATATATATGTAAAGAGTGATCTGCACAACAACAAGTACACACAAGCATGTGCAATGTATGCGTACATAACTATACATAGACATATACACAATAATTTATATGTATATAAATGTACAATGATGTACATACATACATACATATGTATGTGCGTGCGTGCGTCCGTGCGTGTGTATCTCTCTGTGTGTCTCTCTGTGTGTCTCTGTGTCTGTGTCTGTGTCTCTGTGTCTGTGTCTCTGTGAGTCTCTGTGTCTGTGTCTCTGTGTCGGTGTCTCTGTGTGTGTGTGTGTGTGTCTGTGTGTGTGTGCGTCTGTGTGTGTGTGTGTGTGTCTGTGTGTGTGTGTGTGTGTGTCTCTGTGTGTGTGTGTGTGTGTCTGTGTGTGTGTGTCTGTGTGTGTGTGTGTGTCTGTGTGTGTGTGTGTGTCTGTGTGTGTGTGTGTGTGTGTCTCTGTGTGTGTGTCTCTGTGTGTGTGTGGGTCTCTGTGTGTGTGTGTGTGTCTCTGTCTCTGTGTGTGTGTGTGTCTCTGTGTGTGTGTGTGGTGTGTCTCTGTGTGCTCCGTCTATGTGTGTGTGTGTGTGTGTGTGTGTGTCTCTGTGTGTGTGTGTCTCTGTGTGTGTGTGTCTCTGTGTGTGTGTGTGTGTGTGTCTCTGTGTGTGTGTGTCTCTGTGTGTGTGTGTCTCTGTGTGTGTGTGTGTGTCTCTGTGTGTGTGTGTGTCTGTGTGTGTGTGTCTCTGTGTGTGTGTGTGTCTCTGTGTGTCTGTGTCTCTGTGTGTGTGTCTCTGTGTGTGTGTGTCTCTGTGTGTGTGTGTGTGTCTGTGAGTGTGTCTGTGTCTGTGTCTGTGTCTGTGTCTGTGTCTGTGTCTGTGTCTCTGTGTGTGTGTGTGTGTGTGTGTCTGTGTGTGTGTGTGTCTCTGCGTCTGTGTGTCTGTGCGTCTCTGCGTCTGTGCGTCTGTGTGTCTCTGTGTCTGTGTGTCTGTGTGTCTAATTGTCTGAGTGTCTGTGTGCCGGCCTGCGAATGTAAAAATCTATGTATGTATGTATGTATGCATGAATGCATGTATACATACGTGTATATATATATATATGTACACACATATATATATATGTACTAAATGTATACATGCTCAATCATGCTTCACCCGTAAGCCCTGAAGTCTGCACGCCTCACATTTCCCCGAATCCAATGCTCCGGTTTTCCGAGGACGAGACCATCTTGTTGACTACCTCCAACTTGAGCTCGGCCTGTAACTGAGGCTTTGCAGAGATTTACAACGGCTTCGTTGCGGTTTCGTGAAAGCCCATAGGCTCCGTCGGGGCTTTGCAAAACTTGGCAAAGGCAGCGAGGAACTGTGCGGCTCGGCAGCGAAGGCTTGGCGCTCAAAAGTCTTACATATGCCCTCCTGACACACTCGACTGCCTCGCATTATAGACCTCGAACCAGAACTAAAACAATGATAAACATGGTTGTCAGTACAGTAACTAATGGTATAGTAATGGTGATAGCGATAGCAAGAGCGAGGACCAGGAGAAATGATAATGGCAATGGCCCAGTGGGCGGCAGCCTCTGGCTTCAGGGGCTCCGCTGCGGCGATGAGCGCCTCAACGGCCGTTTGGGCATCCTTCACCTGACAACCAGCCAAGGTCTGCTGCCACAGGTTCGGGGAATCGGAAGACAGAGAAACCGACACAAGGAAGTGTCGAAATAGAAGGGGGGAATATGGCCAAGGTTCAAGCCAGACTATGGGAAATCCCAGAAAGAAAGTTAGTCTTTTTGGCCTAGGTCCTACTGAAACTCTGATTAATCTCAATGCAGCCCGACTGGCCGCTTCATCGAGGGCGAGAACCACAGATACTACTGGCCACCACGTCCTAAATCCAGAACCCCAACAAGCGACTCCCGTGAGCCACAAAATGTAGCCTGAACATATACGCCTTCAGGTCCTGAAACCCCCAAACCAACATATCGGAACCAAATGGAAAGCTTAGTTCAGCTATTGGAAGTCTCCACTGGGCCCGACCAGCCCCTTCGAGCCGTCTCATCATAAGGTTTAACACCCACTTAACCCTCGACCAAGCTAGATCTGAAAGAAAACAAGAAAGTTGGATACCAAGAACGCCTAGAAACCCTCAGCCCCAAAACTCACGAAATCCGAAGCCCTGCAGCCCTAAACCTAAAAATCTCCACAACGCTAGACTACCTCAACACCGTAAACCGAAGAAACAGAAAATATCAAAACCCCCTTAACGTGTGAGAGTGATCGGGTGGGCAAGCCTTCGCTGCCAGCTCCTTCAGCAGTTCCGTGGCCTCTTGTCAGACAAGCTTTCCGGAGCTGACTTCAAGGTTTCCAAGGTTTAAAGGGGCTGTTTTGGGCTCACTCTCGGACTGGGGTGTGAGGCTTATGCTTGAACGCTTCCGGGTGTAAAGGCTTGCATTAGGGGTGCTTAGGGATGTCGGGTTTGCAGGCAAAGGACTTGCAGCTTCAGGCTTCGGGGTTGAAGGGTGTCCGGCTTCAGTTTGGCGAGCGGTCCATGCGAAGAGGCTCGAAAGAGCTTTGCTTCGCGATTTCTTGGCAGCCTCAGTATTGGAGGCGTTAGATATTGATGCCTCGACAATTATCAATTCAAACCGAGCTACTTCAAGCGTTAAGCCGGAAGGGGGTGTTGGATTTAGAGTAGAAAGTATGGTGGCCGAAAGGATCTTCAATACAAGTGTGGTCACGTACATTCAAGCCGCAAAATTGTTCGAGCTTGCGATGTTCTGTCTACGTGGTTCCCATTCAAAGCCCGAAGTCCTAAACCCGAAACCCCCACACCAAAACCACACGAGCGAAACCCTGAAAGCCCTTCTGCTTCTGCTTTGGGGCCTTCTCTTGGGCCTCTCTGGCCTGCTTGGCCAACTCTTCCTTGCCTCGAGAAAGGATTCCAGGCTCTGTCCAAGAGGATTGGGGTTTTGGGGCTTTGCGGGGATCTGGTGCCACGCCGAACTGTTCTGCCTGGCGCTGGGTGGTTACCATAAAATCACGGTTCAGGACGGTGGCTGTGACAAAGAAAATACTTAGAATTACTTCGGGAAAGCATGCATCTTCATTGACATTATGGTGGGGGTTGGGAAGGGTGCTTCCTCGATGTGGGTAAGTCACTACGCGCGATACCGCGACAGCTCGAGATGCAAATACTGGGGCCCAGTTGGTCACAGTTCGGCCGTTTGATTCCAGCGATCGGAATCCAGAGTCTTGCTTCGATGCTGTGTAACCTTCATCTGTTGGTGCATGGGCTCATCTGAACAGGCAGGGGTGGCTCACACTACTTCCGTGTTGGAGCAACTCGCACAAGGCCAGGCAAGGATGCTCACAAGTCGGTGCAAGGTGTATCTCTGCTCTGAACTTCAAAGCAAAGCTAGTGGTGTTCTACCTACGCCTCTTTCCACTCTACTGGTAGCGCTCCTGCAAGCCCTGAAATACGGGACAGGGCTGCGGAGTTAGAGGTCAAATCTCACATACGCGATCATACTCGTCTCAAGCCTCTGGGATGGACCCTTCCCGTCCCTTGCAGTGCACAAGCGATCTGCTCTTTTCCCTGCGCCTTCGCAAGATGTCTGTTCAGTCCTGCTTGGCACTGTCACCACCCTCCAGGTACTCTTTTCCGAAGGTGCTTTTGGAGCCATCTGCAGGGGGAAAATCGGTAACAGCCGGTGAGTCCTCGGAAAGCTGTCCAAGTTGCTTCATGATGCTAGTGGCCGTGGCGATCATGCCGGAGGCATCGCCGGCATTCGCAGGCACCTTGCTTCACACCGAAACGGATTCGGAAGAGAAGCCCGCTTCATCTCAAGAAAGCTTGCCAACTGAAAAAACTAAAGCAGGACCACGGAGTGATGGCTGCCTCCACAAGCCCAGCATGTGATAGCTGAGAACTGGCGTTGCCGTGCACCACCCAGACCCTACTCGGAAAGTGCCAAGAACGCCATTGCGGCACCCTGATCTATTTCAGCCTCATACCCTGTACATTTGCAGATTCATGGGTCGTTTGTCGACTCACTCCGTGTCCCGACTAGATAGCTACAAGTGGCCAACTACCTTATGATGCATATGTAGCTCGAGTGGTGCTGAACCATGATCATAAGATATCATAAGCTTAGCTGCAAGCTTGTAAGTTGTGGTTCCTGTCGCTACCACGTATAATTTGATGGAACCCTCCAAGTACGCCTTGCAACAACACCCCCGCCCCCAGGTAGAAACCCAAGCGGCAATGAGGGTGTTGGACTTCTTGGCCATCTCTTTCCAAGCAGATACCCACTGCTCAGCAACACGGAGCGAGGCAGCTTGCTCACCCTTCCTTGCATCGTGGGAGTCTTTTAAAAGGCCACACCCGACTCTCCAGCATTTCCCTGACTGAGGAGCGAGTCCAAACCGCAAAACCACACTGACTAATATCAGAACCCACCGTGCCGAATACGAATTCCGACAAACTCTCAAATGGCAACCAGTCGCTTGGATTCTGCGATGGCGGAGCTGATCATCCGGATGCCCTCGGCAGTGGCCTCGCGGATCAAGAAGCTTTACCTAAGCCGTAGGCCTTCCCTGCGTGAGCTCAAGCCGGAGCTTTCCCCGGACTGCTTCGCCGCAGAAACACCACGGCGCATCAACTCCCAACAAGCACCCAAGGGCCCAGGATCACCCGAACCCCGTCCTTGGCGCGCTCGCGGATTGCTTCCGCATCACCTCGGGCCTGGCGCATGGCCGCCTGCATCTTCCCCTCCGCCAAATTCACCTGCACTGCGATTCTTAGAGTCAGAGTGATTCTCTACACTTTGTCCTTCCGCACACACACACACACACAAACATAATACTGCGTGTACAAAAGATGGTTAAGCTGGGGGAGGGGGACATGGAGACTCCAAGGTCTTCTGCCCTTCCTCCTTCCTCTCCCGTCCCCAACTCCCCAACCATAGAGGCCTCACTCTGGCGGTCGCCTTCGCTCTGGAGCACTTCGGCCCTTCGTCGCCGCTCCGCTTCTGCTTCCATCTCCATGGCCTGATCAGGGCTTTTGAATTTTGGCTGCCATCCCAGCAAACAGGGCTAGCGATGTCTATGGCTCAGCTTGGTTTTAACGTGTGTCACAGATTTCAGCACCGGCCATCATCAGAAGCGCTTCATCAGACCAACACTGGCAAGAGCATGAGGAGCCTAAGGGTAAGAGTCTTCGGCCCAGGAATTTGGGTTCCCTGGTGCCGGGCTCAAAACTGGGTCAGGCGAGCTCAGGGCAAATTCCCACCTGGCGGGTTCCCATGAAGTGCCAAACTGCAGGTACCCCCAAACCTACAACATGTTACTGTACTGGTTTTCAGTCAAGACAAAGGCCTGCTTGATGGATGTCGGTGGAATGATGTCACGGATTTCGTAGCGGAGCACCTCAATACCCCAGGAATGCGCGGCCGCATTCACGGCCTGCACGATGGCGTGGTTCATGGCGTCGCGCTCCTTAGGAATGGAATTGAAGTTGGTCGACGATAAGGCTCCAGACAGAGACCGGCACTTGCTCCCTACCGAGCGCACCGCACGAGTTCACTGACCGCAATTTGGACCCTGGACGCCGACATGCCGAAGGCTCCTCGAAGGTACGATCCAGCGTCATCTTGCCAATCTCTGAGCGCATGGAGGTCTGCGCGAGCTGCGTCACCGCAAAGGTCGGGTCATGGACGCCGTAGGAAGCCTCTGGGTGTAGGGTTTGGGGCGATAGCTCAGGAAAATCCGTGAGTTCACGAAAATAACCTAAGGCGTAGGAGTTATCTCGTGAAGCGAAGCTTAGGTGTGGGGTTCTGCGATACTTATACATGTGTACAGGGATTCTCAGGGTAACGCTTCGACCACTTGGCGCGGTCGTAGACAGAATTGATTGGCGTTGTTCAGAGCACGGGTGGGCTGTTCTTTCCGTCCCTGTGAATCTGCCTGCCTTCGTGATGCTTCATTATTCGCTACTGCTACAGCAATGGGCGTTGTCAGGTTCGCTGCGATTTGCCAACTTTAACAACCACTACCACAACCAAAAGCACCGCCACAGCCACCTAACATCAAGAGCCCCATGAACCTGACGATTACGACAGCCATCACCTCCGTTGGGAACAGGTGTAAGTTTTAGTGTCCAAGCCCTCCTATTCACCCCTGAACCCATGCTGGAATATGGCCTGGTAGGCATCTACGACCTTGAGGTATAAGACCCCGTCGATGCTGATGGTGACGTTGTCCTGTCTAGGACGATGTGAGCAAGGAACCTCGGAGTCTCCTCTGCGAAAAGATCCCCGCGCGCTTTTATGTCGCTTCCAAAGTATGCTAAAGTCGTGCTCATCGAGGCACAGCTGATTCTTTGCACGTCTCAGGAATCTTGTGTGCTTTTGTCTGATGTATCTAGTCTATAGTCTATGACGAGATTCTTTGGCAGTCGTACCGGCAATAGTGTTCATGATGACCTCGGCGAGGATGATGACGACTACGCCCCGCACAAAAGCAACGACGGCTACGACGACGAGCACAGTCGTGATGATTGTGGTGCTTGGCATGAAAACCTTTGCTATGATCTCGGTCAATACGTTGTTGCCAGTGCTGTGCTTTACGTGTTCGTTGACTGTTCCTGTCCGGCTGACACTGCAAGGTAGGTATCTGTTGTTACTACGATGGAGCAGGTCCAACTACATCCTGCTAGACTCTAGACCGCTAACCTCTGCTGAATTTGGGATGTTGCCTTGCCGAATAACGCGCAAAAAGGTTTGAAGAACATGCCATCTAGCAGCTAGCATTACTGACGGCGTTTCGGGATTGCCAGCGGTCCACATTCATGCTTGCCTGTCCCTCTGACTTCCGGTCCTTTGTGATCGCCTGCTGGTTGGGGATGGGAATTGCCTCCTCTTTGAGGGAGTGGGCATACGCGATTCGATCTGCCACCGGCACCAGGAAATGGAGTCCAGGATCCAGGATTTTATGAAATCGCCCCAAGCGCTCGACCACCCAGGCGATTTGCTGGGGCACCACCACGACGCCTACGTGCAGCCGTGGGGCCGTGACGCTGTGACGAGGCTTCTCCGCGCTGACTGTGCTGTTCCCGGTCAGCGAACTCCTTGCTTGCCCTTGATATCCCTGCACGCCTAAATTAAATTGCCTACTGCAGGCCCGTCAATCTTCAACCAAAAAAGCCAAGATGCACACAGCCGCTTTCTAAATTTTGACTAAGCCTCACTGACACGCTTCGGCGGAGGCTCGTGCTGGGTGTACGTGCCAAGATCTGTGGCAGGTGAAGACGGTTCTGCGCTAGGCCCAGGGCAGAAAGCCCCCTTCCCGCTGCAACGCGCATGGCGGTGTGAGGCTGAGCCCGAAATGCCCTGGTGCCGAAACCAAACATTGGGACCTCAGAATAAGAAGACTTGCTCCAAGCCTTATTAAGACTGGCTTCATCCTGAGCTTCAAGGCTACTGATGCTATCAACTGGCCTTTGCTGGTATCTACTGGATCAACAATGAAGACCGCTAAACCTAACCTCCTGACAAAACCTGCGCACGAAGAGTTGAGCACAAAGGGCGGCCACAGTTCCCGACAATCGTCACTTCAGGACACTGGTAAGAGTCGCCAAAGCCACTGCTGCTCCAGAACTGATGTGCTGATGAGAAACAACATTCCAAAAACTGTTGAACAAATACCAACGGCAAATGACAAGAGTATGACAGCAACATGAATGACGACTTTGACATATCTTGAACGGCCGTACCAATGACGCTTCTTAATCGTGCACTGAAAAGCTTTTAATCCCCAAACCCCAACCTCTACACCCTTATCCCAACCCCGATACTCAGCAGCAGGCGCTCGTCCTCCCGCCTTTTGGCCTCCTTCATGGCCTGCAGCTTTCTGATTCTTAAGGTGCTTACACCTGAGTCTCAGAAAGGTTTGCTTCGATTTGCTGAAGTTCCGGGCAAAGTAATCAATGATACCAACCGCCGCATTGCTAAAACCGCCGTCGTGTTCAATGATAC